TTAAATCTTCATTTGCGCCTTGTTTGTGCGAAAGAATAGAAGGATTAAGTATCTCTTCCATGAGTTTTAATATAGTGCAGGCCCAAGGGTGTCAGCATGATCGGCCGCCGAGAAAGACTTGGGATAGTACCATTCATCAGCTTTTATCTTACTTTGTCTCTCTTTTGTCCAGGTATCTTTTATAATGTACGAACAGATGCAGCATTCACATAACCTTCTCTAAAAACTTGCAGGGAAGGTCGGTTCCGTCATAAGGTTATATAACACTTAAATAAATGTGCAATATAAAATAAAAGTAGAAACAGATACAAAAAGTTGTAAATGTATTTGTTTTGGAATTCGGTTTTGTTATTAATTTTTGTAAAGTTTTTCCTGTGGTTACCAGATTATATCCATGGTAGCACAGTGTAAACTTTGATAAACAGGCTAAAACTATACTCACAAGATACACGTTAAATAAAACACCGAAATTACTCAAGTCGTAGCCTGTACTAAATGTACTAAACTACGCTGGCCTTGGCTTTTCCATTACACCGAAGCCACAAAACTTGGGGAGACAAATCGAAATGACTACAGTTGTTCAAATTTCCAAATAATCATTTTTATCTCTAGAAATCAGCTCTTGGCCTACTGATTATTTCCATTTTAAGCGGTCCATTTGTAACCTTGCTGAAAAAATTTGGCTAGATACCACAAAATTTAAACGTATATTTTATAACTGAATGAATATAGGCCTACCTCTGTTATTTTAGAAAAAAAAAAACAAATTCAATGTTAAATCAATTCCAAGCTTTCTTATCAACATTTATCATTATATTTGCAAGTTTTCTTTCTAAAATCGCAAGAATGTGTCATTACGCCAGGCATTCATGCAAAATCCTTATACAGTAAATAAATTTACTCATTGCGTGATACCGCGAATTTTTGTTCCTCTTCGAACTTGTGCATATTCATTACTGGGAAAATAGGTCCATGCCAAGGTAAATTGCCTTATTCAAATAAGTAAGGATTAATGCGTGTGTTAATTTATTTATATACCAGTTTTATTTTATACGATTATTCAAAGCAATAAGAGAAAAAGTTTTTCAAATAGAATATTGCAGGATTTTCTAAAATCGGACCAACCTCAGTGTATTCTTTTCTTTGTTTTTTTTTAATCAATACTGCAATTTATACTTTAATGCAAAACTATTGTTTTACCATATTTTAAAAAAGTATTTAAATGACACAAATATTTTATCTATCGCCCGATTTACAATAATGCTTTTCAGTCTCAGTATTTGTATCTGCGAACAGCTTTTTTAAAAATTGGTATTATGAAAAAATCATGCTTTCAAAAATGTCCTGTTAATATGCACACAGAGCGATTTCACCTATAACAATCATTGCAGGTCGAATAATTAAACTTTTCCTATGCGGTTTATGACGATTAAATGGATATTTTATTCAAAATTACACTTCATCTCAAGTGTTAATTGCGACATAAAAGCACCCAATAATCCTTAAGTAGTTCGTAATGGATGTAATGTGGAATTCATGATGTATTCGGCCACCTTTAGCTGTTGTCCTACCCAGTTTGGTTGCCATGGTTTCCATCGCACCTGTAAATAAACTCCCTAACAATATGTGACCTACTGCTCGATTTACTTTGTTCATCTGGCTAACTGTGTAATTAAACACAACAATTGCTATTAATTTTACAAATGGTCCTTTTAATACTATCCCATCGATCTGGCTTACATATGGTGGGACAAGAAAACTGCCACCAATGAAGTGTCCAACACTTATATCAGCACCTTTTAAAGAAAAATATTTTGGCTTTGCCAATTTCCATACGTTCTGAATGTGGTAGTGGAAATACAGTATATGATTATCTTTTTTAGTTAACGTCTGTTATTACAATTTCTCAGAAAAATAAACGCCAAAATGTGTGGTTTCTTTCGAACTATTAATCTAAATTCACAGAAACTGTAAATTTTCGAAAATCCTCTGAATAATTTGCTCCAGTTTGAAAGAAAAAAAACACAGCAATATTTCCATATTTCTTAAAACAGAATACAACAAAATTGCACATACATGATTGCAAAAAAAAGAACGATAATGAATTTCACTGACGTTACCAGAAGTTCGTCATTTAAAATTACAGATAAACCTAATGAATTGCAGATAAATCTAATACAAGTTTTCACAAACTATATGAGCGAATTCTCTCTCCGGTAATATTTTATGTTCCAGATTCCCTCATATCATTTTTCGTGACAGCTATTAACACTTAAGTACATGTTAACAAAGTGTTTCTTTACAATTTATCTGTAAATCTTAATTCGTGTAAAAATGGTTATGTAAGGAGAAGATATTGGTTAATTCGGAGTTTCTGTCCTTGAACTATGCCCATTAATCGGTAGGTAAAGGTAGAGAAGATGTCGACTTTCACGGCGACGAAAAGAACGCTCTTCTCCCACTTCCGTCCGTAGCCGCTACTTAGTACCCCCTTGCCGCACAGCAGCGAACTTATCGATCGATCTCAACAACTTCATTAAGACAATTAATCTTCATTGAAGGATAATTTATTGCTCAAATTAATAAAATCAATCATATTTGCTGTTGTGTAAAAATAAATTGTCAATAATCTCTTTTGATAACGCATGTCTCGGTGCGGGTTAGCTGGTTAGCCGGGCAATGTGGGCCGGGGATTGTGTTAATCAGAAACTATCAAGGATATGTTAGTATGCAACGTTCCTTGCTAAATTACACAATTCATTTTTATTTCAATTATTGAGCATCAAATCCAATAAAACTCGGCCGCGCTATCATTTATGCCATGGCAGCAACACTCAGGTTGACTATAGATTGAGGCTTGGCAAATATCTATGGCTATTAATTTTTCTTAAATGGGCTCAATGCGCTCCAAAACCTCCTAATTCATCAGCCTAATCAAATTGAACCGCGTGTTATAGCCTATTGTGGGGAATTGATCTTAAGGCAAAGACGTTGCTCGTAAGTTCTCTTCAATAACCAAAGTTCCTTAGATAGACAGACGCGCGGAGTAATTCCATGGACTACACTTTTGTGAAACTAAGGAAACAATTCCACGCACATGCCGACTGTACTTCACGGCGAAGTGGTATTTTGTTTATAGACGGATACATTGGAGTATGTAAAACAATAACAATTTTTGCTGCATAGCAGGCCCGTCAAATACTTTGAATACGTCGCACAGGGTTGGCCAACTATGGAGCTGTGCGATGTTATTAAGTGAGATAAATTGGCCAAGTTACAACATACCACAAAAAATACAAAATCAGTCATACGTGTTTATTTTATGTTCTTAGCAGCCACCACATCACAATGATTTTGTTCGCTTTTTCATACACATACAAAGGGTTTCTTACCACTTCTGACAACAGTTGAGGAGTTTTGCGATTTGCCTAAAAGCACATGTGAGGTAGTTAGTCACAGATGCAGATTGAGAACCTGACGGAGAGATAATAATAATTATAATAATTATAATTTTAAGAAACAAAAATTTTAAAGCGTCACAGTGGATGATAAACCTAACTTATACAGAGAATGACGTTGCGGTTGAAGTCAACCATGTCGCTGTCAGAATTTCTCGTCCTATACCTGACGAAATGTTTATGACAAAATTCCTTCCTCAGAGAATATGTAACTGTTACGTTGTCACCTACAGCACTTACATGTATAACGGGGGTTTCCATTAAAATGTTCAAAGCACAAAGGCATTTGCAATTGTTTGTCAAAATTTTACCCTGAAGAGAAAAATAACAAAGACAAGCTCTTTACCCTATTGAATAAAGATACAAAATTTATGCTGAGAGACAGCTCTCTGTCAAGACATTTCACGAAAAAAGCATAATATTATATCAATGTTTATAAAACAACAAGCCTTGAACAGAAGCAAAACTCGTGCTACGTTGTACGGAAAGCTACAATGAAACTACCAGCAAATGTGTGTCACTTAGTTTATAAACTGCTAACGCGAATCAACTATTAGACACCAAGTAAATAAATTGGTAAAAATAATAAATAATTAACAGCCTTAATGGATAATAAAACTTCGTTGAAGTTCCTTCCATATTATTTGGCCTAGGAATAGAGATTCTACGGCTACTCAACAACGATAACAATGCATAAGAAAAGACAACTTCTCTTACATATGAGCAACAACTGTTGGATCTGCCATCAATTCTGTGTTACCAGGAAATTGCCAAGAACTTTCCTACTTCCCAATTTACAATTTTACACATCAAAGTGAAGGCAAATCAAGAACTATGGGCGGCTCGGGACACATCAAGACATTGGCGTGGAGAATTTATCATGGCTAACGATACCATTTCATCTTTGTCTTGATGGGCCTTGATTAAACCTGCCCGGCTATACAAATGGCAATGTGGACAAAAACAAATCTGACAGCCTTTTTGCTGTCTGAAAATAACATTAAAGAAGTAGCAAAAAACTTTACACAATGCTCACAGTGCTAGCACATACAAGTATACTAGAGGGAAGCATGCCTTCCCTTTGCATTTACTTAACACATTTTCTTTTGAATATGATTTCCATTCTGAGAAAATTAAACCACGAAAAATAAGTAAAGTAGGAAAAATCCTTTGTGACAACTGATATATATTTAAATATAATAGATAATCAACCAAGGCACAGCGCATGAGAGCACGGCCAGTCGTACGATAAAGAACACGATAACATAGGTTTTTAAGGGGTGAGGCATGTGGAATGTTGTGGCTAAGTAACGCAGCACCAGCTGACTTCGCCGTACACTATTTGTACACGGAACATATGAGTATAGTCAGTGCGCACAACACTGGTACATGTACATCACTGGAAGTCTATCCAATGGCAAACTCTGGAGATTGGCATACAAGATGGCTCTGATTCAGACCGTTTGTAGACGAGATTGGCATATCTGAGTACCAGGCCTGGCCTGCTGAGATTTTGTCTCTGCTCCTTGCACCCCACCCCCGCCCCCGCCCCCGCCCCATCCTCAGGTATCTTTGCTGTATAATACTGTACCGGTGAAGGAAGCACCAAATTTGGCAAGGGCCCACGCTTGTGTGGGTAGTGCCACGTTACACAAGGCCTAACTGTGAGGGATTAAACGTAAAATCAGGGGGCGGGGAGCTTCCAGTAAGGTTTGGCGTCGTCGATGTGGCTTTTCTGTAGTTTTCAGAGTCCTCGGTGTCGGAGCTGTCCATCTGTTGTGCGCGCTCTTCTTGTCGCTTCTTGGCCGTCGCCATTTCTGCCGCGTGTTTCTTCCGCCATTTCGTCCGTCTGTTCTGGAACCAGACCTGTGAAGAAAGGACCCGTACGTTTACAACTTGTCAAATATTACTGCTGATAAGCAAGGGAACAAATAAACTAATAATGTGTCAATGTGCCTTTGACCGAAGCACGTGTGATTGCAATTAATAAAAGAAAACATCAAAGTTTGTCTTTTCAAAGTTTTATTGGGTTACGTTGGAGAGGCAACACCGTGGAGTTTTCACGGGGCTAACGCTAAATCAGTCCGTGAAAATGCTGTTTGCGCTATTGGCAAACAAAACTGCCTATTGCAAGTTATAGATTTTCAAAGATAAAATCAGAATCATATTCGGCTATTCTTTCCACATAATCCCGTATCTACATGCCATTAAGATGGGTTGATAAAACAAAGCTCTGAAGCCAGGCGGTCATTTTGTGTCAAAAACTGATCCCTCTTGCCACTGGCAAGATAACAACCGTCATTTGTGCTACTTTACAAAGTGTCAATTCGTGCAACAATAGAAACGTATGTTCGAGGTTTACTACTACCTTATGGAGTCACAGATCAAGTGTGGATGTTAAAAATCCATTTGTCAAGCGACTTCTCTCCTGATTTATTCCCGTGACAGGGAGAGCTACCAGTGGCAGCCATTCGTTACAACTCGTGCTTAGCTTAATACCCCAAATATACCATTTGTAATTTCACATCGACCTAAAAGTCATTACGACTGATGCGATGTTGGATTTTTTAACGTTCTTTAAGTCAAAGTAAAGGCAATTACTATTGATATAAGCGAAGAAATCGAAAAATGTAGTAATTTACTTTAATGATACGGATTTATTGGGGGTTACAGAAAATTGCATGGCAGTCGATTCATAAAGAAGTATTACCGGGATAAGAGAACCATTCCGCAGATTGATCCCCTATTTCCCTAATAACTGTATTAAACTTGGACGATCCTATCACACGGCATTAGACCATAATCCGCACTCAGTCGTTCGATTAGCGAGGTTGCAGATATACTTTAGAAAATCACCGTTATTAAAATGGAAATGCACACCGCACATTTACACATAGTTAAAAACACTGTCACGGCCTATTTAATTCAAGTTCAATTTGTTCCCTTTTTGAAATCCAATTTGACTTCGCTTTAATTTCAGTCATAAATTATTGTGAATGCCCTTATCACTTTTCTTTTTAATTTTTAAAGTAGCTGCTACTGTGGCGTTGATGATACTTTTTTCTTTCATCATCCTTTACAGGAGTGGACAATCAATTTATTGTTTATGTCTTGGTTCGGCGAGTGTTTTACTCATTCAGCGAAAATAGCTTCAAATTGGCATTATATAGAGAAACGCATCTCGATTTGTCATTCGGATGAGATCATTACCACCCAGCTCGGTATTATTGGATAGCCATGGTGTGTCCCTACCCCGCACGGCAAGCCGGGGCCATTCATGTTTAATGACACGTGTACAGGACTTGCCATTTGGTTGAAAAATCACACTTTAAAATTAAATTAAATTGCATATGATAAAGCTATCTCATCACGCATCGAAATTGAGATTAAAAGAAATCGGGCTATCAATTTCAATCTTTACAACAAAATGAACCCGCAAATAGAGTCGCACCACCCACCGATGGGTGGCTCGGGACATTTCAAAGTTTGGGAAATGTGATCTTCACTAAAAGTTGTAGATACATAATCATCTATACACAATACAAGCTGAATAGAGACCCCCTTACAGGAGTTTGCGTCACGCTTCATTATGAGGCCCGTAAATGCGGGATCAGGTTCCGGGCAGCAGGTACTGATGGCGGAAAGCTTTTTCATTGGTGCAAAATAAAAGACAGCACAATCTGGACGCAGGGTGGAGAGAAAGAGGTGACATTTAGGAGGTACAAGATAATGAAATGCGGGTGGTTTACAACCTTTTGATGTGCCTTGAAGAAAAGGTATTATTACTAAAGAATTAATTTCAACTGCATAAAGCAGACGTGATGATGCCACTGCCGAGCTCGCAGGTGTGGGGACTGGGAACACGATGAGAAAACTTCACACCAACGTCTTTTTCTACAGCTGCATGCGGGATTTAATTAAACAGTAGGAGAAAAAATGTGAAAGATAAATAACAACATGAAAAACGTATCCTTCAAAAAATAAATACATTTCTTACGAGGATTCTGAAAAAGTGCAACTCTTTCTTCCTGTCATAAACATGTTAATAATAATAGTTACTGTAGAGATATTTTGATTTTATATGTTATAAATAAACGTATGTATGTGCACCCGCAAGTGTGGTTACCCATCAGGCCGTGATTCTTTCTCCATGTTATCCCTGCAGCACAACATGCCATTCAAGAGGTCGTATTTAGAGTTAACTCCCAGTACAGTTTACGCATTCCCTTATCAGGGCCATATAGAACCGACCTAAGTAGCAACCTCACAATGTAGGACTTCCCCCTAATCACCACTTTTGTGCAAAGTGACACGGGTTCATGATATTCTGAATTATTAATGACATCAGTATCAACGCCTCTCCGAATTAGACTGCATGGTCCGACATTTTGGAAATGTTTTTTTTTTTCGAGGCCTCACGTTGCCATCGTGTAAACCTTATTTATTACAACAGTTATATTCATAAATCAAAACGCAGATTAGAGTTTCTTTATTAAAGCAAATAAGTTAAGAAATATATTTTGATTGCGCATTTTTTCTCTGGGCATTTTCTTCTGTGCATTTTTTGTGCAATATTATTCCTTTTTTCGATTTTCCCTACCGGTGTCTGTTATTCGCAGGGTTCCATCTAAAGTTGGTTTACTCCAACGTAATGTCGCCTTAGGGTCACTCAGGACTGAATTTCAGACCTAAATGCAGTTCATTCTTACTAACATCATTTTCGACAAATACGACAGAACAAATTGAAAAGGAAATTTAATCGATTCAAGTGAATAGGAAAATGGCGGTTTAATTTTCCACCTCACGCTGCGAGCGGTAGTGGAAATGGGGATAGGTGAATAGAACGACATTGCTTCAATTTTCTCATTTGAAAGTTAAGGTAAGTTTGCCATGTTAGAGCCCTAGATTTCCCCACAATTTGGTTACAGTAGTCTTTTAATTTGCTACAAATCATCTTAAATTTCCATACAAATCATTTTAAAAGCGATTAACTTTTCTATACAGCAGTAAGGGGTACAGGATTGTTGATACCCATGTTGGATTCAGAGTTACCCCTCTCTCTTAAATTTAAACGACAGTTTTCGCTTTAAATTTAGATTTTTCTTTAATTTAGCTTTCAAATGACGTAGGCCGGGCTAAGTTTTCATCATGGCTTTCTGATTTACCTGTTCAAGTTAAACGTTTCCACATTACCTTTATTTGTCGTTTATACTTAACAAGCGATTTAGAAAAGATTAATAAATTTTAATTGAGTCGTGAATATCCCAGCACTAAGTCCGTATCAATTCAATGGTGCCGACTTAACAGGCAGATAGGAAGCTATGTGCTCTGAACACCTCGCACATCAAACGGTGCCGACAAGTGCTTCGGTAATTCTTCTGACAACTACACACATCGGCAATTAGACATCTTCAAATGGGTTTGAATTGTAATCTATTTGTTTTAACTAAGCAGCTACTTAGTCGAGATTATGCAAATACGAGCTTGTATGATACTGAGCCGCTGGACGGTATAGTCGAAGTGATAGCTTGGAACGGGCGCGTCCTGTAGACAAGAGTATCAGCAGAATTCAATATTGTTGCTACACCTGACAACAAGCAGACGACAAGAGCATACGACCTGACAACTTGTAGGCGCATAAACAATGCGACCACATATCAGAGACGACAATACGATGAAAATAATATAGAAAACTGTGACATAAGTAATTAAAAAGTATAGGTCATAATATGGGAGCTAAATGGCTTCTGTAATTCAGAAAACAATGCACAAAAATTGTTAAAATCTAGAAATTTAGTATGAAAATTAATTTGTTTACAAAATAAATATTGGAAAATAAAAATATCGAATGGTGAAAAATTATTTTCAGACATCCAAAGTTTCGATGTTAAGTCGTTGTTTGGGCGCTTCATTTGATGTTCATAATCGCCCGTCTATTTATTCACAAAACATGCTTCCCTAAAATGGCCGAATGCAAATAAAAGCAGATAGTCAATGGGAAGTCATTCAATACCCTTTGAGTTTAGCTTTTTAAGGCAAAGATTATGGCCCAATAAACCATAATTTCACAATATATCGATGTTCATATTGCGCTTAATGCACACACGTACACTTAAATGTGCACATATATTCATTTGACCAGAAGAAAGTGCCGAAACATCTGTTTTATCGCCCTCTCATCACTCTTTTCACACGTTTTCTTTTTCTGGAGTGATTGTCAAGAAAAACCGCTGTTAAAAGATGGACTATTTCTCCTCAATACATGGCACTTAAGCGTTGCCATTTCCTTTCTTGGAAAACAGTTCGCTGTCTCTGACTGGAAAATTTAGATGAATATTTGTCACATGACAACATGCATAATATTTAACGGCTGACTCAAGGGTTGTCTGGTCTTATTGAAAAGTGGATAGGGTGAGCGTCGTAGCTTCGACTGTCGTATGCGTGAGCTTGCTAAGAGGAGAACACTAATGTGACACAAAATGGGGAAGTACAAAAATTTTATACACTAAGAGAAAATACTGTGAGATAAAGTTGGGATTGGGCACATTATTTTAATAAATGTGTTGTCCACAACCATCCCTCGGCGGATCCAACGAAATATATAGAGCCTATCCCCTTTCCATTTTACTTTGCATTAAAATGTTTTGACCCGGACTGAGAGACTCTGCTACCTGTAAACACACTGTTATAACATACTCCGCACTTATTCCTTGGTGTCTGAAACAAACCATTTCCCACACCTGCAGTCGCACTCGGCATGTGTCACCATAGCAACACACGAATCTGCCTCAAAATATGGCCTTTAATGATTCCAAAAGTTGACATAATTGTCAATGTCCGAATTTAACATAAATTGAAGGTCGTTGTGCTTCTGAATCATGAACTCCAAGGAGCATGGGCCTAAAGTGCTGGTCGCTGTGCTCTAATAATTTTGAAATTTCTGCGGCGCGTAAAATTTTAGGGGGCGGGCCATGAGCAAGTCAGTGCTTCATTCTTACCTTAACTTGGCTCTCTGTCATGCCCAGTGCGTACGCTAGCCGCGCTCTCTCTGGACCAGCCAGGTACTTGGTCTGTTCAAATGTCTTCTCCAGGGCGAATATCTGCTGACCTGAGAAAGTGGGTCGGGTGTGTTTCTTTTTACCGTCCTTGTCCACCGACATGTTGCCTTGGACTGAAATTAAATGCAAGGCCATTTCAATAAAACGCTCACATTAAGTGTCGCATGAGAGATGCTGCAAACTATCTGACTAAGCTAAAGGGAAAATAAGAAAAACAATATATAAATTTAGTGTATAGAAATTTACTAAAAGTAAAACCTCACCACTTCCATTTTTAAAAATATTGTGATATTTCTTTTCTTTCACCTTCACTACATAAAGTCTTGGGTGGTTCGATTTTAATAAGATCTTTTGAAACGCCAGTATAGGTCAATCACAAAAGTTGGATTTATTTCTCCTTTAAAAAATATCCTTTTGAAATACTTTTCAGTTCAGATTTTTGTATATGTATATAAGATTAAACCTGATATCTTCAGTAGAAAATTCACGCTTAGTCCAAATGCTAAAAGTTAATTAATTAAAGCTATTCCGTTTGTCTTTGATACCGGTTTGCAAATTCATAAGTTACATGCTCAATTACAGGCAACGGGCCCCCAAAGACCACTTAATCTGAAAAAGACATTAGATTGACACTTGGTCCGCGTTCATTATAGAAAGTATTATTGGACTGATCCCTCAAACAATCGGTACTTTGGGAATTTTTGATTAATCATAGCGGTTAAGGGTAATGATCATTGAACAAATAACCTTAAGAGAAAAACTCATAAAATCAACTTCTTTGACAGACAAAGAAGTCTTTACTTGGGGTAATATTTTCAGGAAAATTGAGCAAATTTCTAAACCATGTATTAAAAAAAATACTAGACATAAAAATATTCCATGATGTATTTAAATGAGATTAAAATAATAAAATCAACGGGGCAATTTGCGAGGGAAAAATCTTACAACAATTAATGAATCAAATCCACTTATATATTAGATATGTGTGTGAGTAATAAAATTATCAATCCACTAAGCGTACTGCACCTCCGGGTGATGAACCACACTTAACCCGATCACGTGCCAAGGCGCTCCGAGCGTTTGCAAAAAGAAAAAAATACGGAAATGGCTCCATTTAATCTCTCTCTTCCTCTGTCTCTCTCTCTTTCTCTGTCATTGAAATATATTTGTTTCGTTTAAATGATCTTGAAAGTAAAAGAAATATAAAATCGCGGTCGGCCATAATTTTATAAATGTCTGCTTACCATATCCGCCATAATTAATCTGCCATCTTGCGTAACTCATGTAAAAGAAATGGCATTTTATGGCGAGTAAAAGCAATACTTGGGTAATTTTTCAGAATTAAAAATCGCAATACTGAAAAAAAGATTATCATTACCTTTCTAAAACAAATTTTGTTTTGCTTTTAAACGACATTTGTGAAACGAAATTTATGACGAAAAAAAAAGACGGACATAAAATAACTCTTTCTTAGAGGAACAGCAATTTAGCAACCCTGGACTCATTTCAAAAGAAATTCACTAAATAGAAAGATATGATTTAGTCATGCAAACAATTTTATCTGTTAGGACCACAGCTGATAATAAACCCTCGACCCGGGCTCCTATGTGACGTAATCGGTCGTTTATGCCGCACTCTATAAAATTGTCGTTCTATAAAGTGAAAGATTAGCCACCAAAGATTCGGACGAAAGGAGTTTGAGCGACAGAATAAATCTTCCGTGTTGGGCCGCTCGTCTTTTTCGCCCGATTTGTCATTTCCAGACCGCATTCCGCAGCTGCTGGCTGTGACTCACATTTGATGAACTAATTATCGATAGATTAGAAAAATCATCAAGTTGTCGAACTGACGACGGACTTCACGGTCCATGTGCAGTGCGTATTCTGTCCTGTTTACGTTCACGTAACAATTTGTTTCTTTCGAAGGAAGTTCTACGCAATATGGGGAACGATCGGCTTTGATCTGGGAGTTTATACCCCGCACTCATACACGGATTTATCTCGTTAAAAAGTCATCTTCATTACTATAACAGAGGGTACAGAAAAAAAAGAGAGAGATCATTACTTTGAAGGCAGTCCGCGCCGATTGTGAATACTCATGTGTACATAATAAAACAAGAAGAACACAGGGCCTCTTTATATCGCTATATTAAACACGCCGACATGATGATCGGAAGTCCCGTTTTATAGTTGCCACCAGCAGATTTGCCTCGACTCAGAATGGGTTTCCAATGAGCATATTAATTAGAAAGGTACGCGAATAGTCCGCCAGTTTATCTGTCCTACTGTCGTTTATGACCTTTCACTGCGAAGTGATTACGCTGAAAAAATTCAAATTAGTGTCGCCCTCGGAAATGTAACTGTGTTTGCAGAGAAGTGTACATATCCAGTAATTGGTGACTTGACCCTGGCCGCATGACACGCCATTCTGAAGCAGTGAAAGTTTTTATGACCAAGGTTTTCATGTTAACATGCATAGCTAGTCTTTCGGTCGTCGTAAACCACGGAGATGATTCTTGTTAACTTCATTCAGCAAGGAGAAGGGTACATTATTCAGAAGGAACGTGTTAACGCGTACAACTATTTTGTAGACGTGATTTTTAGAGTTTTAACATTTATACTAAATGATATCCTTATATCACATGAGGTATTTTTTATCTGTTTTTCTTTATACTGTTTCCGATTCGTAGGTGCGTTTTAAAAGTTTTTACCGCGTAATTTCTTTCAGATAAACACAATCAAATCCTGTATTAAATTTATAAATAATTCCTACCAAATACAAAAGTAAAATAGAAGAGAAAAATTAAACACTTCTCTCTGCTACTTCGGGTTGCATGAGAGGCTGTAATGGGACTTCCTACAATTGTTTTTATTTTATGCGTTAACGTGACTAGGAGTCCCCTCTGCAATTTATAGTCTAGTTGGTATTTACATCCGCGCGCTTGTTGCCGGAGGACAGTCTCCGTGTTGTTTTTCTGCACACCTATAAACTCGCCCGAATGTATTAAATAGCGAAAATTGACAATAAAATTCAGATTAGCGGTTGTTCATATAGATATACTCTGCAAAATGTGTTCAGTTATGAAAGGTTCTGCTTTTGGGTATCTTTTATTTTTTAACTCACAATTACCTGTGTTGAAAACAGATTATTCTTAATTTTTAATTTGTTTGTATTTATTTATTTTTCTGTTGGAAGACTACAGATTTTATATGGAAAATTGTTCTTCATAATGCAATTATATCTTTTTTAAAAAGTATGATATAAAAATAATCAAAGACGACAAAAAATGTTTACAAACACTGCAGTTCCATCAGCTCAGTAGATGCACCACGATCCAATTTTGAACACAATATTTGGTATAACACGGGGTAAAAGAAAGTGAAATAAGTTATAATTATAAATAAAAAAAGTTTATTAAAAATCAGTTGGTTTCACTCACCCAGATAGCTGTCCCCTTGCTGTGCCCTCCACTGGGGTCCCATGGCCGCGACCCCGGGCCAATAGATGGGTGTTCTCCCCGGCAAATCAGCCAGGGGTTTACAACTGGGAAACCTGCTCTGAGGGTAGTACATCCCCGTGCTGTTGAGCCGCGGAATACTGAGGTTGGCTGTGGTGCCGTACGGCAGAGGCCGACTGAGTATATCTGTGATGCCGTGTGGGGTCGAGTTGGGACCAAAGCCAAAATGTTTGAGAGAGGTCTGTGAGTAGTGAGAAGTCTGTGAGAGGAGGCTGGCGGCGGGGGGAACTTTGGTTTCCGTCATATTATGGAGCGCCGCTAGAGGAGGATTGCTCAGTACGAACGCGCTCTGCCGTGATGTTAAGGGAGACGAACCGGCACACACAGAGTCTACGTAACTAGAGTTGACATTAAATAACGACTGCATACTGACAGGACTAGCGTTCTGGCAGTGCCCTGCGTACCCCCCAGCCGTCGTCGCTGATGGATCCGGAGCGGCACAGAAATCCAACATATCCAGTGTTGGATCCGTCTTGAAGCCTAAGTAGACAAACAGTAACAAACTAAGTTAACCAAAAAATATCTACGCACTAAAGTCGCCGTGTTCCTCTCAGCTGTACATGTAGCTGTTGTGGGTCCTGTACTTGTTCAAGTAAGTGGTGGAGATTACTGCTAGCACTGCACCTAGTAGCGGCGCTGTGTCGTTAACATGGATGAGCAAAGGTGAAAGTGATTTCTGTGCGCCACAACTTGTCCCTATATCAACTCGGCCTTCTCCCGACTTCTTGCTTTAATGTTATCTCTTCATAAGTTTGAAGGTATTGTGAGGAGCCCATTAATCACTAGCTAGCTACTTAGATTAATGACTCTTTGATGCGCTGCTAAAGTCGACCTGTTGAATTAAAACGCTCTCTGATTGGTCAAATGCCTGCAAGGTTTGGAGTAGCTAGGATGTGTTTAGAACAACCCGATTGGTCGTTGCACATTACAGTGGTGATAAGACTGTTAATAATCAGATTCGCTGTGTCTTTCTGAAAGTCAATCAAGTATTCGGCAGATGGCTACTTCCAAGGCAAGCGAATATGATCATCAGATTGGAATATCATTCACGTAAGCACGCACCAACAATACGCGCACGCACGCACATTTTTCTGTTTTTTTATATTTCTTTTGGTGGGAAAATGGAAAATCCGCAAATTACTTAACATCATGGATTTTATTTCAAATATATTTTCCCATACTAAGATCCAAAACAGACTGTTCGACAAATAATGAGGACAAAAGCAAGTAGATGTGTGTCATTCTAATGTTGCTCAGTTTAAGGATGGTCTAGCGCCTGGGCAATAAAGCTGTCAGTCAATGTTATAACACAGTGTGTGTCAACAAATCTTCGTCAGAATTGTCATATTTTTATCATTTTACGGTTGTCACTATGAACACAGTGTGATAACCTGAATTGGAGTTTATCTTGGTTGTAGCTTGCATAGAAAAACCCGGGCCTCTCTTGTCTTGTAAATCAAGCTTTTCACTTAATCTGGTACTTTGAAGAGTTGCGGTGGTAACGGTACAGGGGTGATATCTTTTTGAACCCAATCCTCTCAGATAAGTTTGTTTAAAAATCACATTAATTAACTGATAACGATTTGTTTCAATGTAACGGATGTTAATACCCATTCCCTCGTTTAGCCGTGTCTGTGCCAGCCGAGTTGCATGGTTTCGTAGCCAGCGGGTATAAAACAGATTCCTGGTCATTTACCTTTGTCATTTGTCGCGTCCCATATTTTTGACTTAAGTACATGGGTACATAGGCGTTTTCATTGCTGTTTAAAAATCTCTATCATGGTACATTCTGCAAAAATAGCGGAAGACAAGCTGGCGATACATATTATCGGCGTTTCCAAACCCGTTAAATGTTATGAAGTTAATTACCGAAGCTCCGATTTAATAAGTCTCTGATAACTATTAATAGCGAATTAAATTGTTTGTCAAATTTTCATTAAAGCAGACCGCATCCCACACACGCGAACAAAGACTTACGGCATAAATCCTGCATGGGTTTTAGACCTGGGATGCTTGAGGTGAATAACATAATATGGCAAGGTCGCGGTCACTGAGTACATTTATCTGTGCTGAACTTTATATTGTACTGAAAATCGAACATTTGGAAAATATTTATATCTATAAAAATAAATCCACGCTCGCTCATTTAACGAGAAAACTGTTATAATGAATTTTAATTTTCAAAATCTTATGGTGCCATTTTTAGTTTTTGAATTACAGGTTTTTAACTATCGGCCAAACTTACTCGGTCGTATAAAGTTAATAAATAGTGGTTGCCATTCAAGTGATGCGAACCAGCGCCAAATTTGTAAACAAAACCCCCGCGTGGTTTCGTGTCAGGGAGATGGATGACGGGCCGGTGTCACACCTGTGAGGCAAAAATTGAAATGAAATCCCCCGGTCTCCGGGATAGAACACAGAACTGAACAACAGCTCCGCAGTGGCTCATTGCCGAATTGTGAGAAGCCTCATTGGATGTGCTGAAAAACACAATTAATTTACATTCCCCGATTGGTAAATCGGCAGCAATTCTCACAGCACGATGATGGTTTTTACCGACTTTGCAAGCAGCAGGAACGCACATATTCCCAGCCCAGCAGTGGGTAGCGATACTTCGGTGGTCCACGAGATATGAGATCATTGCTTGGTTCCTGTGAACAATGGTTAAAATAGGAGGTGACTAAATCTGATTTTTTGAAACCTTCATTTATTCATTTTTTTCCTAATAAAATTTACAAAATATGTTCCGTAACGTTCAAATTCAATAAATCATGTGACATTTTTAGATAATGTAATATTAAAAAAGAATAGTTCTGTATTATTGAATTATTTGTATTTTTCTGTAAACCGAACTTTTTCAAACACGAAATATACGCACTTGCCGTAATAAACTCGCCTATATTATATCCCTGACATTTTACAAATTAATTCAAGAATTTAACTTTAAGTGGAAAAAAGGAGAAAAAAACCAGGAGTGAAAAAATAAAGATAAAACATGAAACGAAATGACCATGTATGGGCACAACATGATTGTGTGTTTGTAGTGTGACGTATTGAAAGACATAATAATAATAATAATAATAATAATAATAATAATAATAATAATAATAATAATAATAATAATTTTATTCAAATCTAGAGTAAAATGAATACGGTCATTAAATTAATGTTTCCTCTCTATCTTACACCTTTAGCTATTTACTCGTTTATTACATGGATAAAATCACACAAAAAATCAGCATTTCTTAAAGCAGATTATATTAATGTGTTACGTTTTTTCTATAAAATTTTAAGGGCAAAAACGGCCGAGTTAAATGCCTATGATAAATACTCCATAGTATCATATTATTATCTGCATTGTGTTGCGACCACCAACTGTGGCATAACATTGGTTATCAATTCCCTGGTTAACTAAAGTCGGTCTATTAGATCTCTATTTACCTTTCCTCTCACCTGGGAAATGTACATTTGAACTCACAGGTGGGCTATCACCGGGAGCTAGGTGAGGGGTGATTTTTACACAAAAATGTTGCGTAACTTAAGGAAATCTTTTGGGCTTTTTACGCAATGACTGTCCACAATCGTGGGACTGAATTGAAATGTCCCCATAAAAGTGTCCATCTTGAAGTTTAAAAGCCGCCCACCGTTACACCAAAAATCAACCCTGCAACGTTCGTGTGCCAGCCAGAAACATATTGCTATGAAATGCCATTAAATTTTCATCATGTCGTATCATCGAATGATTTAATTTGTTTAACCACTCAGGATGAGGGCAAAAAGATAAGTGACACGAGACCTGTACATAATTATTAATGTTTATGCAGCTCTGAATTCATAATCTGCGTCCTACTATAAAAGAGAATTAATTATTTCATAGTGTGGTGAATTGTAATAAAGGCATACATCATAAGTCGTGTACAAGGAAATCATAACGGCCTTTTCATTACTTTCAATCTCTACGAAATGGCGACAAACGACCAATAATTCATGTCTTAAATTAGACCCTAATTGTTCAGGCGAAGCCCTTAACAATCGCCCAATGAATATTTACATTAATTGGAGAAGTATGCGTCTTATAATCAAATGTCTTCATAAAGGCCTTCCCTCTTCTCGGTGCGCCCCTATGCTTGACCCCAACAGAAAAATAATGACACTGAAGGGTTATCAGTGTAATTATTCTGTAAAATGTGTCACCGATACAGACTTGAGAGGGTGACTCACACTTCAAATACTCAATGACGAAAGGGCCGTGTATGTTGATTCGTCCCTTTCTTTAAAAAAAGCTTGGATTTCTTTTGTTCCAAAGGTTTACGCCCAGTTTTTTGGCGCGTCACTGGTGTCTTAAAATTTGGTACAGAGCACATTTTTCGATATGAAAGAGATGCAGCTTATTTTCTTTTTGCATTATCAAACGAAATGTTCACCAATTACAATACCTTCACAAACCATGCAAAACGTTATTTTCTTTTCCTGACGTAAATAAGTTCACTTAAAAATGTACTTTCTGCTTTTGAAAATGTCCCGGTGATATTTTCTGTGTACCTATTCTGTAAAGCTACTCTTACCCAATTCAGACAATAATAACGATAAAACACTCAAATGAAAGTGCGATATTTCGATATTTCCCACTTAAATGTACAGAAAGACATGGCGGTTTAAGATTTAATTAAAAATGGTGTAAAACATCAACTCTAAGTGCAGGTATATAGGTCGCTCAATAATTGGTATATCCAAGAAGTTACAACTTCTTGGTATATCAAAGTACTATTTGCCGAGGAAAATCTGATTTCAATTTTGGCTAGATAATCCCGGTTAGTATACCTATAACCACTCCCTATAAAGTTCCAATGGTCTTTTATTCTCGTAAAATGTGTTTGTGTTTGATAACTGTTTTATTTGAAATAAAAAACGAATTAAAAAACCTAACCATCAATCTACGATAAAGACTTTTGGAAACTCGGCATCATATGGTACATACAATAATTGTTCGCCTTTTTTGGACTATCAAAACGTTCTGCAATATAATGAATCCTTGCTGGCATAAAATGACAATGAAAATGTAATGTTGATGTATTACATGAAAATATACAGATGCAAAATATATTGAAATAATTAAAAATCTGCTTATTTTGCAAATGTAAATTTTGGCATGAAAATAAAAAAAGAAGATATTTAATATAATAATTCATCCATCGTCAACAGCATCAACACAGTATTCTGGCGGATATTTATTTGAATCAAGGACCAAACAAATAGATGGGCCTTAGTTTGAATACAGTGAATGCAGTGGGATTAACCCGAAGTCACGTATATATTGGTGCAGCATCCCTTGCAGTTTGTACGTCTATCCACCACCGTCGTTCCGCATTTCGGGTTGTAAGCACGTGCGTAATAAAGTGTACTCGGACCTAGGTGAGCCTCATATTTCTAGTGTTAGATCAGGGATTGCGCATATCTGATAAATCACTTCACAATTAAATTGGGATGTATTTCCCCGTGCACTTGATTGGCATTTTTATGACTTTTCATTGTTGACAGAAGCAGAACTCACCCCTATTAATCACTTGTCGATTATCACTCGTTTTTCTTAAGCACAATAAAACCTGATATGGCAGCTATTGTAGCTGGGCAATCCTCGAGTTGATCACTAAGCTGCGAATCACTTCTATTGCATGCAATTAACTATATCATAAAGCAGGGATAAAATTGTGCGCGGCTACTTTCTCGACAGCCCGTGCAACGTCCGCCATGCAAGGCTCGGTGTCATCTCGCGCCCCCGATGTCCGTAACGAGCTCCTCGCAAAAACAAATCCAATTTATCACAGGGTCCCTCTCGGGGTGCAAAAATATGCTGCTGGGTAAAATGACGCCCTCTGGCATACGTTCAGCTGTGAACTAGGTTTAGGCGATCTGTCCCCGTCGGTAAACTCGCATAGCCCCGTCTCCATAGCGCGCTATTCTTGTGTAGATTCAAGCCACTATCAGAAGTTACTTGGTAACTCAAGACTGGAAAGCAGTGTTTTGAACGAATTCAATGTGGATTTTCTGATAGCGAACTGGAAAAACTGAACCTTTCATCCACAGCACGAACCTAAACAATACACTGAAAACGAACTCCGGCCAGACATCATTATCCCTATCAAAAAACTCCCTTTCAATGTGGATAGATTTGACGTAAGGGAAAAAGGGCACATTTTAATTCATGTGAAATAATTCCTGTACCTGCTTCTATATTATGGCCCTCTTGGTCATTCATCCAGGAGCTCTCAGAGCAATTGACTCCGTTATTTTTTACTAACAATTTGCGTCTTTTTTCGCAAAATACTTTTATGGGCGTATCACTCAAAGACAACCAAACTTAGCAAACATAGACAAGGCCGCGGATTTTTTTTCGCAAAATAATAACAGAGAAATGCATATTAGTTTCGTCCATCGATAAGACCTGAAAACCGCAAGGTGATAGTGACTAAACACCAAGGGCAAACATGTTCTCAAATAGCGTTGTTGGAATTTAGAGTTCAATATTAACTAATTCTACAACCATAGATTTTCCCACAGGAACGTACACATGTTTGTCCCACCAGCGATTCCATTCAGAAAACAGTCAAACAGCCGTGCTCTGTACCGAGGAACACGTCAAATGGATCGACAAATTCGCCTGGCGTATGTTTGTATTGACACTCGTGACTAAATTCTAATTGCCCAACAAGTGATAAGAGGGGTTTATCGCGAGAGGACTCTGCGTGTTTGACACGACCGTGTGGCCGCGTTCAAGTGAACATGGGATTAACGCGACAAACAATTCAGATTATCAAACAAAATTTAGTTGTTACTTCTCAAACGGACGGATGAAATACTGTTTTGTTAACCAAGCTAATGCTTGAGCGATAGAGTAAACCCCAGCCTCTCCAACTTGTCAGTACTTGAGGAACCATACGTGCGCTCCCGGCGCGGTGATAGCTTTTTTACGTTCACGGTGAAGGAATTCTAGGGGGCCTTGTGTCCGCACTCCAAAACGTACAAGGCCGATAAGACGGTTGTATACGGCGACGTGTCAAGCGTGGCTATTTATTATAAAATGTGTCAACTCGCGGCTAGGGAAACATCCTGCTAACGCATTTGTAGCAAATGAAAATGTTTATTAAAAGTCTTGTTTCGGCAGTTGGAAAAAACTGACATACATTACATAAGGCTAATGAGTGAATATTTTTAAGCGAGATTCGTAACGCGTCGAGAGTCAGTGAGGAGTAACGCATTCAGTTTGCGCCAGCGCGCGTAACGTCTTCGCTAACACATTGGACCTACACCAGAAGCAAACAATTCTATCAGCCATTCCATTCCCGGTATGACATGAAGAACTGTAGTCCGCTAGGACGTACGAACCCCATTACTTTGTACTAGTGACCCTCATCCCATATTCTAATCCCAATACTCTGACTAACCCTAACCTGTACTAATCGTATGGGACCCAGGACTTCCATTCCTAGGACTACCATTCCTGTCACACCGTTAAACAATAGGCTTCTATTTAAATTTAAAAAGATATAGTTTGAAATTAAACAATGGCAAAACAACTCTTCAAATAAAAACTACCTATAATCTCAGCATTTTATTTTACTTAATTTTTTTGATAAAAATCAATAATAAATATTGAGATTACCTCTCATCTCTTACATTACAATTTGATATAAGTAACAATATTGCACAAACACACCAAGATACTAACATTATTTGTAGTTTTTGCTGAAATATTTCATGAGCGCCATGAACAAGCCAGCTGAAGCTGACAAATATACAGCTCATTATCTGTATCAAGATTAAATAGGCAACAACCAATATTAATAAAAATACTACTTCTGAACTTATAACATGATCGAGTTCATTTTCAATTTAAACCTGTATTTTAGCAGAAAAAAATAGCAAGTGTGAAGTAAAATGGTATTTCCATTTTCAAGATATCCCAATAGGAATGTTATTATATGGGAAAACACATACTCAAACACACAAAACAGGGATGCATTTTGAAAAAAAATACTAATGAGGTCCATTCTCTGCACTGATCTTTTAAATCTAATGTGTGACCCCAGCCAGTATAAAGCAAAAGAGAATAATTTTCATTTTCAGATATTACTGAAGTAAAATTGGTCTACTCATCAGCCAAACAGGTACTTGTGCCTCCTGAGAGCACAGCACAGAGGCCATCTTAATTGCCATCAATTGCAAGAAATGTACACAAGTTTACCTACATCTGAAGTCACTACATACTGTCACTTAAATTAAGAGACTGAACATACTACATGATTGTATACTTCAGCCAAACTGTATAAAAAAAAATCAATGGAAATAATGATACTTCTTTCATCACCTAGTCCCAAATATACGACTTGAATAATGCAAATGCAACAGTTCTGTTCAATCTCACTTTTTCCCCAACAATCTCAGAATGATATACCAATCAGCCCAATCACGAGGTCATAAAGAAAATGAAAAAAAAAAACCTCTTCTGCTTAGGTTAAACAAAAGAAAATAGTTACTTTGATACCACACTTCTTTCGTAAAAACATTATATCATTTCACCAAGTTGAATTTAAATAAATAACCCTTCACCCTTTTGTATAATCTCAAAATATTTACAAGGGTTTTGTAACATGAGGCATTTAAATAAGTGAGATATATTTCAATTACATACTGTATTCCCCGAACTACATTTGTGGTTTTGTGCAATGCTATATATGTTGTTGTGCAATATATGGTTAGAAAAATATTGATTAACTTTCATTTAATAATGACAGTGACTGTATTTTTATTAAATGCTGTACATAAACTTTAATTATATATATATATATATTAATTTAGTTTACTGCAAAAAAAAAAAGAGTATCTCAAAGAAAGTTGTTCAACTTTATCAATTTCATCTAATTTAAAACAAACAATCATCCTGGAAAATATGATTCTAAATCTACAACTATTTCTTTAAAGCTAAGATCTAATAAACGGTATATTAGATCTTAGTTTAAAGCATGAGCAACAAATCCTACTCTGTTAAGAATCTCCTTAATTACTAGTAGTGGACATGTTATTCCGTTAAAAAGAACAATCGGTCTTAGGACATATCTGAAGGTACCACTATTTAAATATTTTACACATTTCGTGAAAACAAACTGATATTGAGCTGCCAATTTCTGGGACATTTTCATAATAAATTCAAGATATATTAGCATGATTAATGAGAGCCTCTTCTTCATCTGTTTGGTCACTCGACCTCCCAGCTGTTGACCGGAAAGAGGTGTGGATCTGCTCTAGTGTGTGACCTCTAGTCTCGGGAACAAAGATAAAAACAAACACCACACCGAGGAGGTTCAGCCCTGTAAACAGCCACCAGGCCCCATAGCTAGTCAGTGAATGGTCCAGTGTAGTATAGAAGAAAGTCACTAGAAAGACTCCCAGCCAGTTAGTAAAGATAGATATCCCGCTGGCAGTGCCTGTGGCCCTGGCTGGGAACACCTCTGACATTATAATCCATGGAATGGGACCCCAGCCTATCCCAAATGCAGAGACGAATACAACCAAACATACCACAGACAGCCAGCCAGTAATATCAATACCTAAATGCTTGGTGAGAAAAAAGTATAAACCAAACACCCCACTGCTCAATGTCATCAATATCCCTGCCAGAATTAGCAGGACTCTCCTTCCGGCTTTCTCCATGAGCAGACTCCCCAGGAATGTCACCACCACTTGCACTGCACCCACAATAACTGCTGCAGTCTTTGGTTCACAAAAACCTGCCTTTTCAAGGATAGGAGCATCATAGAACATGATGGCATTGACGCCACTGAACTGCTGGAACACCATGAGACCCACACTGATCAACAAGGGGTGGTAAAGGTCTGGCTGTCGGAATTGGCCAAGCGAAAATGGCTGATCATCATCTGTCATGTGCTGTAACATTTCATCATACTCTTCATCAGCATCACTTGACTTTACTCTTAGTCTCTTCAGGCTCGTGCGTGAGTCAATCATTCGTTTCTGCCTTAGCAACCATCTTGGTGAATCTGGCATCACAACCATCAGGACAGCCATTAAGGTGGGAATCACTGCCCCGGATACTGCCAACCAGGACCAGGAAAGAGGGATCCCAAGTCCATAAGCAAGAAGGATGCCGATAGTCACAGACAACTGGTTAAAAGCGCCGAGGGTACCACGGAGATGTTTAGATGCGACCTCAGCTATGTAGAGGGGAACACACAGAGATGTCCAGCCAGTGGCGAAACCAGTCAGGAAACGTCCAACAAGTAACATCCATAGTCCTTTCTGATAGGCAATAAGCATCCAGCCAACTACGAAAGGTATAGCTCCAAGCATGATGGTCAGTTTACGTCCACACCAGCCGACCATCTGGCCAGCAACCGGCCCTCCTACGATTGCCCCTATTGCTACGAGGGCACTGAACCATGACGCTTCGTTGTCTGTGAGGATTTTCTCGTCTTTCATTTGCTTATGTGTAGGAGAGGTGTACCCTAGAACGAAGCCAAAAGACATGGGTCCTAAGCATGCTACGAGCACTGCAATTATCTGGAGTTTAGAGGCTGCATCGTGTCTATGTCTATTGCGAACAAGGATGTCGCTTCCGCCTTCCATGTTTACAGGAAGCGGAAAGTTAATACCTAGCCCAATGGGGGATTTCGTTTTGCCTATATCGAAACGGCGAGGCAAAGATCCCTGTGTGAGAAAATGGTGATGGATAGATATCAAGCCATAACCACCAAATATAATACAAATATACCGGTACTCTGAATTTTCTTCTCTACGAATGTTTATTGATCCGACAGCAAAAACTTTATTAGTGAGAAGGTCCATACATGTGCTATACCGTACCTAGCTGTACTGTAGTTACATGTACATGTGCACTAGTAGAAGCTACATGTACAATGAAGGTCTACAGGGTATATACTAGTCAGACTAGCAGTCGTAATCTTTTTTTAGCTGTGACATAGGCACGGAAGTTAGGAAGAGGGGTAAAAGGAATCCCCCTGGCCCTACCGTCACTTAATTAGTTCCCCTAAATGGCTGTGTTAAGATGCATTTCATACTATTACCCTTCATGGGATAAGGATTACTGCATGCATGAAGGCGGCTTCATTGGTTAAAAAATAAGGATCCTCAGGCGAATTTGCGATATTAACCACTTCATGCAACATTGATATCAAAACATATGATAGTAACACGTACATTATCTTTCAGAATTTAGGGCTTACAATAAGAACTTTTAATTCTTACCATTATTCTACGAAGATACAGACAATACATGTATCTTATTTGGGAATGAAGTTGCATTGTATCTTGTATCCTATGAAGTAGATCTGTCAGTAAAATCAGGGCATTTATGATGAAGTGCTAATATACGGTGAAGCATCCTAACATTTGTAACTATGATAATTAATAAATATAATTAAGATAGATTACATGAAAAATATGTAAAAATTATTTAAGTTGGGATACTTTCCGCCGCCGGCAACCAAACAATTAAATGAATGGGAAAATAAAAGAATAAACAGATAATAAGTACATAAATAAATAAAAAGAAAAATAAATAAATAAATAAACAAATAAATAAATAAATAAATAAATAAATAAATCTATAAATAAATGAATAAATAAATAAACAACATAGACTTAAAACTATTTATTATTATTATTCTTTGCGAAACTCATTGTAAATTGATACAAAAATAATGCATCCGAAGGTAGTAAATATTTTAAAAACAATCTGTCGAATGTGGTCCTTCATTTATTTACAGCAAGTGATTGAAAAAAATATATCGTCACTATAACATCTGGCTTTGGGTTTATGATAGTTATAAATTGACCAATGGGTTGGCTCAGTATATCACATGATGCAAATGATCCAATCACATGACAGCTTATTTCCGTTGTTCGTGTGAAAAAGACAAGATGGCGAAGGAGGAAAAAGTTTTGCGGTATTATGCCCATTTCGTATGTCGTGTTAATACAAATAACATGAAGCATTTTTACTGGAAGAGTTAAAAAGGGCAAGCATCGTTACAAGCACAAATATATAAGATTTGGTGCTCCGCACAGGCTATATACTGGTAACTATTTCGCCATTTTGAATTCCGCGTTTTTTGTCGTCTGGTAGTGGTACTGACTATTGACTGTTAGCAAGTACACTATGAGCAAGTGCACTTGCTTGTCAATGTAGATTTGCAGATTTTTCCAACATTACTTAATTTTTTTTGAAAAATGATAGTTTATTTACATTGCCATCAATTTATGCGTTAGTCATACTTGACAGTTTTAGACCAAGATACAAGATCAATTCTCACTCACCTAAAACATTAAGTGCATTAAAAATATAATGAGAAAAATATTAATGTCCGTGAAAGTTATGCACTTGTGAATTACTTAGATGACTGTGTGATATTTACTGGATCCATGTTTTGTTTGGATGAATGTTTAATTTAATTATTACTCTTTAGCATAAGACATTGATCTGTAGTGTGAGTAGATGTTTTTATTTTGAATTAACAGTCCTATTATTTGTTTCAGCACACTAAAAGGCCAAAAATGTCATTCAGTAATCCAGAGAAAGTCAAGGCCCTTTTTGGGGACCTTGGCAAGCCAACTATGCGTGGCATACGCAAATGTCCGAAGTGTGGTACATTTAATGGCACCAGAGGCATCAGCTGTAAAAACAAGTCCTGTGATGTGATCTTCAGAGATGTGCAGAAAAAGAAAGGAAAGCATAGTGTGGATGCTGTGAAGATCATAACTGGTTCAAATGTTCAGGTGTTTTCAGTGCGTCTACGAGACAAGGGTCCGGACTATAGAGCCTTTGTTCAGCTGCCTCTTGTGCAGGACATTGATGGCAACCCAGCAGAGGCTGTGGACCCTGAAATTATAGCATCAGCATCTAGGTGTTATGTTGAAAACTGTAGCAAAAACTCTCAGCTGAATCTTACAGGGGACACTTGCCCCCACATCCAGGCAGCTATAGGCTGCGCTGAGGAGGCCCAGCCTCTCTCCCTGAAGAATTCAATATTGAATTCTTTGAACATTTCCAATGAAACAAAACAGTCAATTTGGCTGCTGGCAACAGAGACTACAGGTCCATTAGTACAGAGAGTTACCAAAAACGTGATGGTTGTCAAATGCAAACCCAATCAAAAGCATCCATTGGGATTTTTGCATTTTGCCTTCTTTGAGACAAAATTAAATCGTAATAGACCTCAACCAGAGTTTAAATTTCAGTGCAGCTGTAAAGCTTTTAAGGTACATATACTTTAACATCATTATTATTTTTTGCTTATATGATTTACCAGAGGTCATCAGATTATTATTTTCTGCTTAAATGATTTACCACAAGTTTAACATCTTAGAAAAGTACATAGTCATGATATGGACTTGTTAACCCTATGAGCAGAGTCAACTGCAAAAGAAAAACATAGACATAATTTTGTGATAAAAATTTCAATAAGTATCTGTTGACAATTTATATACTTTATATCTCAGATGTAAACCTACAAGTGTAAGCAACTGTATAATTGATGTAATATTGTGTCTGCAGGCTCAGAAGGAAGGTAGTTCTAAACATGACCCACAGAAAAGATGTGTTCATTTCTATGCATGCATCACTGCATTTGGCAGTGATGACAAACTAGCAGAAGAGTTTGCATACTACATAGCTCTGGACAGAGTGGCCAATGAAGGTAAGGCAGAGTCATGTTTCTTTACAGTTAACAATACTCTTTGTATAAAAATTATTTTAGCACATGATCAACATAAAAAGAAATTGGATTTATGCAATTGCTGTGTTGTTGTTATAACAGAGTGATATGAATGTCTTGGAGTAGAATGTGTTTATAAAGCTTTATGAATGAAGCAGTCTGTACTGCTAACAATGAAAATGGGCCAGTTAATTTGTGAATTTGTTAAATAACAGGCTACTGTTCCTGTTTTGGACCCTGGTGGCCCAAAGGACCATTAGGATATAAATATTTGGCACAGGCTGATAATGTAACTTTGACAGCAAATCAAGGGAACAAATGTTAGAGTTAATATGCTCATAATTTTCAGATGTTTCAGCGGAACGCCAGCTGGTGTCTCTGATCAACCCTCCAGATGGACAGGACCACCCTGCTGTCACGGACCCCACACAGGTAGAGGTAGTTCTACAGGAAGAGACAGACGACTTCCTGAGACCACCAACAGCTAAGAAGAAGAAGGATGATACCTTGGGTAAATTTAGGCAATGATTATTTCAGCAATATGCAGTTTTATTTACACACTGCTCTTCCTTTAGTATGATGCTAGCACAAAGAATTGTTTTAGTTTCAGTGTGTAAAATTGTATTTTTTTTTTCAGACAACCAACAGCTCCTAATTTTAATTGAAAGTAAGAATAAAACAGTTATGACAGAGTCTTTACAGGTTTGAAATTGATGCTATCTTTTTATAGCTCAAGCCAGTAGTGCACTGCTAACCCTACAAGAAAGTGTAAATACCACAACACCAAAGAAGCCCAGCCCAGCAAAACCACAGGCTGTCAGCCAGAAAACACCAAGTGTCACACCAAAGAAAACAGGTATGGAGAAATATTGTAAATAGTCCTGAGTGAAACAGAAAGGCTTTTACTGATGATATGGTTTAGTTAATTTAAAGACTCACAATAACTTTATAAGATTGTTGGGGTCAAAAAATGTATATGTTAAGATGTGTAGGTTATTTCTCAATACTTGTGATACCAAAGTTTCTTCTATTACAGTGTTAAATAATCTACCTGTGGAGGAGAGCCAGGTGTTTATAAGCTTTCATCAGTGGCTGGCAAGTGTTACAGAGAGAATAAACCAGACAATGCACTACCAGTTTGATGGTATGAAATTCAAATTGGAAACTTGGTTCCATAATTTTTGGTGATGCCCCTCATATATTTTGATTGTATTTCATGCAGATTAGTTTTTAAGATCGCAAAGGAAACTATTGTATTATTTGATTATCAACACTGCACATTTATCAATATTTTTATTGATTTTACTATGACTTGTTGCAGGGAATCCAGACCCTTTAGTTTTCCATGCTCCCCAATGTTTCTTTGACTGTCTCCAGCAGAGGATCGCAACAGGAAACAAGAAAAAGAGGCTGCCAAACAGTACCACTGCTTTTGTCCGGAGAGATGCTCTTCCTCTTGGAACATTCACCAAGTACACCTGGCATATCACCAATGTTCTGCATGTTAAGCAGATATTTGATACACCAGAGGTAAAGGAAAGATGATTTAACAGAAACTGGGGTAGCGCCAGCAATTATTTTTCGCTTAGCCAAATCGCCACTTTTTTGTCAATTTGTTATCCAAATGGTTTTCACTTGACTAAAACAAATCAAGTCAAGCCCTTTTTGTTTAGCCAATTTAAGTCATTTTTAGCATTTGGCTAAATTGGCTAGTGTTAGTGCTCCCCAAAAAAATTTTTTTTTTAAATATTTGTTATACTGAATGGAGGACTGCTGTTACTTATACGATGAAATTTTGTTTAGGTTGTAATACTGTGTTTTGCTATTAAATAGAATTTGTTACATTTTTTTTTGTACTATGTATTAAGTTAATTAGCTACACTTTAAAAATAATGTATAATTTGGAAGTTTTTCATGTTAAGTTTTTAAAATGGAATAAAATGTTTCAGATGTCCCTTGAAATTACCAGGAATTTTGTTGAAAATCGAGATGGCACTTATGACTTGTATGAGGTTCCAAAGGTTCAGGTGGAAAACCTTGATGAACCTTTTAAGCAGAACAAGAACCAGACTCCAATCAGGCCATTTGAACTGAAAACCTACTTAAAAGTTGGTATGTAGCTGGCTGTATTATTTGCAACATATCTGGTAGACAACAAAGTGAAAATATTGAAAATGTAACAGAGTTACTTTTTTGATAAATGATTTTTTTAGTACAAATAGATGTAATTGGCCTTAAGCTTTAAAATCATGAAATGGAACTGTCTGAAATATGATATGCTAACAAATATTGTCCACAGTTGCATAAATTAAAAAAGACGACCTCAAAAGAAATTACATGGCTGTAGACTACCTACTTTTTAATGTTCAGAACATGATCCAATTTCAGGTAACATGGCTCAAGAGCAGAGGGAGCCGACACCATTTATAATAGAATGGATACCAGATATCTTACCTCAATCTAGGATAGGAGAACTGAGAATCAAATTTGAATATGGTCATCAGAGAAATGGAATAATTGAGTACAGACAGTCTGTGCCAGTGCAGCATTCCCAGGTCATTGAACTGCAGCAGATTCAGGTGTAACATCAGTGTGTTGTTCTGTGCATGAGGAATATTCAGACAGCAGGCACAAGCAGGATAAAGAATGGTATTGTAAAACCAGGAAGTTAGGACTTAACTAATGTATAAGGCTGAAGTCTATATGGCCCTTCCAATAAAAATTGGGTGGTGTGAAGTGTTGGTATATGGAGTGTTGCATACAAGGAATTTGGTTCGTAGATAGTGGTTAAAGTGATGCAAGTATAAGGAACAATGGGCACAATGTGTCTAGCTACTGGTGGAAAGAGCTGTTCTCAGAATTTTAACACTAAAAGAGCAAGGATCTGCTAATTAAGACAAGGAGGATGGATATTTCAATTTAGCTGTTCTTTTCCTTCCATTTCAGATGTTAAAGGTGTGAATATGGCATTATATTTCTGCAGTTCCGTTTCATTCAAGTTTTCTTCGTTGGAAATGAATGGTGTTATTCTTACTGTGCCCGTAAGTTGTCCAGATACGTTTGGGCACAAATGGTATTTTTATCAGTATTTGGATGAACTGCTAAAAGTGATAGATCTGTCGTTATTTTGAGTGCACTAATCTGTGTTATACAAGTTGTGTGTGTGATGCTGGCTTCACACAGTCTAGTTTTGGACATATTACTGCAGAGAACCCCAGAGTTCCTCATATAATGTTATGACAGGGGTCGATGTACATCCTGAAGTCATGATTCAACTCAAATACATCAGTTTTAATGACATTTATATTATCTTGTCTTTTTAGCATTAATTTTTAAAATACCAGTTGACCAAAGTCTTGTATTTATCATCTGCATCAGTTGTTAGGAGAGCAGTTGTTTGCATTGACATGCAACGGGAATTGAATATGTAGAAGAACATTGGGAAATTTGTAATTATTCACACCCTGGTGTTTAAATTGCTTCAAATAAAGACAGTTGTGTTCCCATCAAATAGCCGTTTTAGTTATCTTTCTCTTAAGAACTATTTATTAGGCAGGTACTCACAAGATTGACTTCACTTACACCATTGTCATCAATTTAAATATTGAACATGATATTTTCTTTTAAATAGTTGGATACTTCAATTTTTTTCAACTGATCAAGTGGCAACATTCCAAAAGGTTTTGAATTGATTCAAGTGACTGCACTTTACCTCAGTAAAGGTTAGAATTTATTATTGCACATAATTAAAGGTGCTTTTTTTCCAAATTGTAAATATGATTCAACTTGGTTTGGGCATTTAAATCACAAACTTTTTTTGTCAAAATTACCCGAACAAAATAAGCTTGTGAAGCTACTGGCACTTACCCATTTTGAGACAGTTAAAAGAAGAAAAGAGCTGACAGAGTTTAATATAATGACAGCAATTTTATTGCTTTTTTTGCGCCTAGGAGGAAAAATTCTTTTGAAGTTCATAATATACAGCAGTAACACATATCTTATCATTAAGATTTTAAAAAGTTCTCCCACATAAATAACTGTTGGCAAGGAAGACTTCACAAAGTCGGAACTGATTAGCTTTGCTTGATCTGCAACTTCAACTTAGTCTCAACTATGAATCTACTATGACCAAATTAAAATGAGTGATAGCAAAACATGATACAATCATGGTGACAAATATCGCAGGTGTCTGTTTTACAGGTACTGCTAAAATGGTGTAAACTGTTAAAAGATTGTCAAGGTATCAACACAATGTTTTAACATCTGTGTTCTTCCAGTCGAAAAAAAAAAGAAGGAAAAAATAAAACATTTGGTAAGAGATCAAGCTTGGGAAATAGAGATCTAAGTGGGAAGGAATACTGGTAAAAGCCCCAACTGGAGGAGTTAAAATCACCTTTGCGTTAAATTCCATACAGACTGTCAGATGCACTCTGAAAATATCTACAAACTAAACTATTACTATGAACTCACTTAAAACTTCCTTAGTCAATCGTTTTGGTAGCCCTTCGTGGGAAGAGATGGAATAAACATTTAAAAAATATTCAAAACTGATGATATTATTGTGTTAAATATGCTGAAGACATTACTGAGACTTACTTAATTCTTATATACAATTAATGATAAACACATTTCAATGCAATTGATATGGAGGTGCATATATATATATGTAGTACCCTGTTTCTGTGGAATATGACACTAAACATCAATGTGACTAGCTCTGAACCGTTTAGAGAAACCATCAGACTCTACACACCTTGGCATCTTCCAGCTATACTAGCATATGAAGTTATAGAAGATACAGTATGTACATTTTTTACATATTTACACATCACTAAGATATATACTAGTATATATATATATACATACACAGTTACATATATCTTACCCCCTAGTAAATGAAATAAATATCCCAACAGTTACATGGGTAGTATTTTTAACAATAAAAATTGAATGACAGGTGTACACAACTTTGTTAAAACTGCCTCCATTTACAACATAATAAAAGGGTCAAATATTGGCATTTTATTCCAGTACACAGCATCTACAGCTAGAAAGACAGTAGCAGGATAAATTTTGTAGCCTCTGCATAACTCTGATATGTTCTGAGAGAAAAAAGTTTGTTCAAGTTACATGACACTTCAGCTAATACGAAAATAAAAATGAATTTCAAAAATTATTTCATTACACAAAATCTTTTCAAGACAAAACAATAATCTGAGTTAAGGTGACAAGTTATGCAGAGTCCACCATATATAAATTTTCTCCAAATCAAACAAAAGTAATTTTGACATCAGATCTCTGCTGGCCCTGGTCATACGGCCCAGAGCTGACCCCAGTCTTCCTAACAGCTGCTGTGCGCAGTTCTGGGCGGGCCATACTTTTACTGTAGCTGGGAGGAGGAACATATGGGGCTGGTTGCCTGTTCTGCACAGCACTGACACCTACAGGTGATCTCTGTAATGCTGGATAGGTGGAGCCACCAGTGGTGCTGTGATAACTTGGCGCTGGCTGAACGGAAGGCTGTCTGCCCTGTCCGGAATATGCCGAATGATGATTATATTTGATTGCATGAGAAGCAGCAGCAGGATTAGGGTTATAAGCATTGGAGGTGAAGTCTAGCCTAGTCCTGGCTTTGGGGCTAGGGCTGTCTAGAGGTAAGAGGTCATGGGTCGTGGGAGATGGTGTGGAAGCTGGTGGCGACAGACGACTAGTGTTACTGGTTGTCTCTGCACTGCAGTTAGCAGGCTCTGTGTCTGTCCCAATGTCTCCTTCATCTGAGAAGCTGCTATGGTGGTGGTAGGAAGAACTGCGCCCCCTAGTGTTCTGCAGGACATGAGTCTCCTTGCCCCCTTTCTGTGCTTCACAGCTCTGCGATCGTGGGAAGCGCCTGGAGTACGGAGATCTGAACTGTTCCTCTCCACCAGAGTCATGTTGGATGATACTGATCTCCCAGGGTTTGCCTGTGTTGCCAGTCACAGGGGGAGGAGGAGGGAAATCTGCTTCCTGGAACTCTGTCAGACTGCCATCCATTACTGAGGGTGGCGGAGGAGGAACAGAGTCGGGACGAGGAGACTGCTGGGCTGCTATGAGAGTAGCATCCAAGTCAGCTTCAGTGATTTCTGTATAGTTCTCTATCACAGTTCTATTAAGTCCAGGAGTGACAGGTGAGCTAATCTCCTCAAAAACTCTAGAGTAAGCTTTAGGAGTCTGTGGACTAGAATCCTGTTGAGACAGGGAGCGCTGGGGTTTGGGTGGAGGAGGAGGAGGCTTAGTCTTTCCTACATTCTTATCCTCCATTGAAAACCTGTTATCTGCCAGCTTATAATTTCCAGGATCTTCAGAGTATGAACGTGTGGTTGTAGTTCTTTTCGAGTTTCCCACACTCCCCCGTGAACTAGAAGAGCTTCTGCAGTCAGAGCCATATGAGAACCTATCACCTCCAGGGTGACCCATGGGAAAAGAATCCTGACTGTCTCCATGAAAGGGAAAGGAATCTCTACTCTGTGAGTTTGTAAACAGACTGCTGTGAGCTGAAGAATCTAAGTCATAGTCACTGAGGCCTCTCTCATTGAGCTCAGAGGGATACCTATAGGCCTGGTCAAAGTACTCCTCTGCCTCTAAGTGGGAGGGTAAAATTCCCTCCCCACTGAAACTTGTGTCCAGATGGGCAGGGAAATCACCAGGGGAGAGGTGACCAAACGTATGGAAAGTCTTCAAAGATCTCCTGTCTCCAGTGCTACTGCTGCTGCCTCGGCTACCAGCACTTCTACTACTGTGGTCAGAGGCCAGTGACGGCTGAGAAGTCGATTTCATCAAGTGAGAGTCAATGGAATCCTGACTGCTAGGTCCACCTCCATATATGTAAGAGGGTTCCGATTCCTGTCTCTGAGGAAAGATTTCCGAGTGTCTATTACCTGCATTAGGTGAATTTTCTTTGTCGGAGGAAGAGTGAGCAGGTTTCTTTAAGAAGTCTGGGAGTTCAGGCTGGGAGAGCAGTAATCCTCTCTGGTCATCTAGTCGCGATGTTTGCATGGCCTTGACACCAGAGACAAGCTGCTTGAAGCTGGCATCTGGAAAAGACAAAAGGAAGAAATGAAGTACACTATGTATAATACACTTGCTGAGGTGATGTATTAAAAAAATATATAAACATTACTTCAACAAAATCCCAAGTTTATGTATAAGTAAAATTAGTGTAGTTATATAATGGTAAGAGTTATTATATGCAAATCTCAAACATTGTAGACCAAAAAAAAAAAAGAATTACAAATGGATTTATGGTAACTGACTGATCTTTCAGGTCTAGAGTTTTCTGATAAAGGAAAAAGACAAACATTTTATGCCTTTTAATAGCAGACCAATTAGATTCAGATTAGTTTTTCATTGCAAGTTCCAGAAACTCATTGCAAAACACAATATTAATTTTCAAGCAAGTTCAATATGACTGATTAGTTTTACTCATATTTCTTGTGGTCTCCGTTGAAGTCAGATTGTTAAAATATCACACAGGTTTAAGGTACATGATTAGTATATACAGATTTTATTTCAAGGAATAATCACTGGCTGTGGGTCTGATGATTCTATTCTTCATGCGGGTTCAAGGTAAATTGTTAGTGATTAGATATGCTTTTTTCTTTTTTTATTTCTTATTTTTGTCAAGATGAACATCTTCATGAAGAAAAAAGATAACAATTTGAACAGGTAAATACAAACAAAATCAAGCACTTTAAAAAGAACTTTTTCAACTATTACATGTATTTCAATGTGCACTGTATCAAACAAAACCATTTCCTTACACATAATTTAATGTTTAAACTTGTGTTTGCAGGATGTATTATGTGTGACTACATGTGAGACTTAGAACAATGATGCAAGGCACCAGTCAAGAGTCTCAAAACTTTAATATTCAATACCAACATTCTAAATCCACAACCCTCTGTATTATTTCACAATTTTTTTCATATCATCCCTCAAATATTGAGGTGACCCTATTTTCATCTGATACATGAATTATGAAACAGAGAAGGATCCTTGTGTCATGTGGAGATCTCAGTTAGCAGACAGAGATTTCAAACCCAACTTCAGCATCAAAAGAGATACACCTGTTATGAATGACAGTTCCCATCCGTGTCTTTCTCTTTAAATATCAATAATGTGGCTAAGAATTATTGGAATAATCTGCTTTGTTTTGAGACTCTCCTTGGCTAGGGCTTGCAAACATGCAATTTGGACCCAGTGGCTGAACTGTACCACAATACAACAGATAACAACAACATCTAACAACCAAAGGTATCCACAAGGTAACACAGACCATTGCAAATTAACAAAATGTATTATGTATGAATGTGCTACTGGGTAGTTACTTCCACTGTAAACTGGGGAAAGGGGGAGGGGGGGGTAGAAAGAAAATAACAGACAAAGGCACAGAACTATACATTACAGTTACTACACATACAAGCAATTGTCCCCAATCCTTTCCAGCACAATTTTGCATTCTAACTAAATATGTAATATATATACTGGCATGCAAACAAAAGGAGACCATCAAGTCATGCTAATTAATAAACCATGAACCATGCCCCACCCTAAAAAAATAACAGCTGAAAGAAATCTGTTAGTGACAACCTTAAGAAGGAGAACACTGGAGAGCCAGGAGACCAAGACATGGGAGTGTGGTAGGTGAGACAGTGGTTGAGAATGAACACAATCCACCTAATTCACACCATGTCCCACCCACCAGCTGCTGTGTTAGTGACCCCAAGCATACCAGACAACACTCAACCAAGATGGCTTTGATATATAAAAAATATTTGTGTGTGTATACATTTATATATATGTATATAAATATGAGAGATAGCATGCCAGGCCTGCTTATAACTTACTGGTCCACCTCCTGCTTCTAGTTGCTCATATATACATGATCAAACCTTCACAAGGAAGAAATAAGGTTATATATAAATATGAGGGTTCAACAACAATGCAAGGACAAATCAAATGTAGAATCTACCAGTCTTCTTATCACATAAAACTATCAAGGTCTACTCATTCTCATCTACCTCGAATGATAAATCAGTTACTGAAGTAATGGTAGATACTGGTTTTGTACACATCATTCTTTAACATACAAAATACAGATAAAATGGGAGGCAATACATATAAACATATAGATACTGTATATATATATATATGAAGTCAACTGTTCACCCTATAAATTTCTTCTCCAGTCACCCATGCAGTTAATAACACATAAATACCTTATATAAGATACAGAGATTCAATGACAAGAGATGCCATAAAAAAATGCACAACATGTATTGTAGCAGTGTGTTAGGGGTGACAATATTGAGGCATTGTGTTGGGTGTGACATACAGTTCAGCCCTGGATGTTCCAAATATTTGAAACACGGAGTCCACACATGTCTACAGCTGCCAAATGTACCTTTTTTGTACAAGTAACTTTATATACATAAATATCAAAAATAGCCCTATCACCGTGCCTGTAATTAAGCCTTTCTTGTGATACCAAGCCCAGAATCACCAGAAAAAAGGTATTCAAAATAAATAAATAAATAAATAAATAAATATATAAATGTATAAGGAATAATTTTGATGTGCCCACTTAGTAACTCCACCTGAACGTAAGGGCAATGAGTCATCACCACAAGTTTGACCTAAGACTGCTTCCTACTTATTGCAGTAATAAGAAATGAGTCTCGTTCCACCAACAAGGGCAGCCGCAAGTGATAGGAATATGTGCAGATACTGTTGATATCTAGAATTTCATCTTAGCTGTAGTTATATACAGCTTTGATAAAACCATGGCAGCTTGTTCATGACCACACCATTTTTTAAGAAAATACAACAAAAAATTCACAATGCTTGATATGTCATTTTGAGCACTTTCAAACAAATCCAGATCAGGATTGTTTTAGTACAATTTTAGTCAGAAAGAAGAAGCATGTCATGAGTTTAAAAAGTGTGGAGAATTTTATTTTTCTAATTGCTGCAACAAATTTGATGGACTATGTGTCATAATATAAATATTCCCCCTAACCACTGTACCAATCCCCTTTCCTTCTCAACCATCTTTCCTGGGTGTCCCAGTTGCCATATCTCATTAACTTAAAAAGGTGGCAAAAATAAAAAAATACCAATTTACACCAGTGCTAACCAAACACAAAAATCCAAAACACAAACATCTACATATCCCAGCAGAGAGAGAACAATTATGAAAATTACTACTAAGTACCATTTCCCTACTATAAAGTCCAGGACAAATAAAAGCAACATTATGAAAGAAAATGCAGAAAACCTCTAACAAGCCTAAGGTAGAGAATAGCACTGGGGTCACTCTTAAAAGAGACACTCCTAAGCATATTCTAAGACAAAAAAAACCCTCAGAATGGTACAAGAACATACCTTCAGCGTTTGACCTCTTCTTCTTCACAGCCGTGCCATTTGCACCGTCTTTCTTTATCATGGAGTTCCGCTGAGTTGCAATGCCACTGTTAGCACTGGATGATGTGGGAATTCCCACTTTCTCTTTGCTCTTTTTGCTCTGGATTTTGTCTCCCACAGAGTTCCTTCTGATAAGACTAAATATTCCAGAGGATCGGTTACTGCTAGATCTGTCATCGGTCTAAAAGAAATTAATATACAATGCCAATACATTATTTAGCACACTTATTAAACCTAGTGCCACTTAACATACAAAATTTAGACAAATTTAAGCTGCATATAAGACCCAAAGAAGTAGATGGCCTTGTTGCAATAAAAAGAACCAAGTTATACTATAAAATTACTATATAAAATGACAATAATTTATTATTCTTCCCACTATTATATTGATTACATTTGTCCAGAAGAAAAAAAGGATATCCAAGTGAAATTTAGTTCTACTACCTTGGCATTTCTGTCCAGGTCTAATATCCCTAGTTCATCAAAGCCATTCAAGCAGTCCCCCTTTCCTTCTATCATCTCCTGGAAGGCATTACCAGAGGCATCCTCCTTAGATGCTAGCGGTGGAGCAGGAACGCTGTGCCGCTGGCGGGGCAATGGCGGCTTGCCTATACTTGTCCTGTGTAACTCATATCCTCCGCCCCATTCTGAAGGAAATAGAAGTGTAAAATTAGTTGGCACTCCAGGAAGAAATGAATTTTCTAAAAATGTCTTATAAGGTAATAGGCCAAATCTAATCCACAGAATAATCCATCATTAACTTCAATGCTTTTAAATTAATAATTTTTCAGAAAGTTGAGCTTAGGCAAAGTTTCAGAAATGTGGCTTCAAAATGTCCCGAAAATGTCAAAATAGTAAAATATCCCACAAAATTAAGTGTTTAGACCTTCTGACTAATATGGACTTAAAAAAATAACAAGCACAAGGCAAGTAGCATTGGCTTGTCAGGTGTGTTCACTAGGGGATGCACAGTCAGGGAGGTCTGGATTACAACTAGACTCAGTATATAGTCTAAACTGGAAGGAACCTGCCTTAATAACAAAGCCAAATGACAGTGACAAAGCAGTCACTAATCACAAACATGCTGATGGAACAAAATTAATATCTGCTGTAACATGCAACAATAATTACAAAAATACAGCAGAGGTAAGACTATTTCCAATACTATACTACAGTGATGTTTATGTTAGTTCCAGGTAATTCCAAGTAATTATAACCAAACAGGAAATACATGTCACTGAGGAAAAGGGAATGAAGTAAGGAGAACTGCATGCTACATAATTTAAGGCTACATTTTAAGTATTTCCTCTATCAACCTGTGTGGGTAATTTGGAAAGAAGTGGGAAAGGGAAATATAGATCAGAGTAGATATATAACCTGATATAAACGCCGAAGAGCACATGCTGCACCTCAGGTCCAAGGCACACCTGTAATTGCACCTGCCTATATATATATGTATAATAACTTACCACTCACTCATTACCAATCAATATTTACTAGCAAAACTGTCAAATGCAGCAGACAAGATTAAATCCCATGTCTGAGTTTCTGGTTTCTCATCCTGCTCTCCCCTCTAAACTCGTCTTCAGTATTGCTAGTACTATTATTATATCCACATTAAAAGCAAGTACAATGTAGCCATGCATATCCGCGGAGCCATTCACCAAGCAAAAGCAGCCAAGCACAGCAGACTGGGGATTGGAGAAAATACTGTTACTAATCAAATTTGTTCTCAAGAGAACTCTCGGCTTTGGACACAATCAATTTAGTGGTTTTCTACACAATCAAAATTCTGCGATTAAAATGTCTGGCCTTTCATCAGTTTTGCCAGACATTTCCATTCGAGTGATTGGCAGAAAACTGACAGCTTCACTCTTAAGCAACTTGTATTCTTGCACTGTTTTCCTCAATAGCATAAAGATATGTGGATATAAACAATCTTAATAGCACTTTTTTCACTATTTCCGAATTCAAGAGAATCAGGTATAACCGTCTTCCCTCATAAATGGAGAGGTGCAGTTTTTCCAATGTGTAAACATTAAAACATAAATAAATCCGTGCCCGCTGCACTCCAACTGCAGACATGCAATGACAAATACGCACACACATGCCTGCATCACACACACGTGCTAACATGCTCCTCCAAACCAAGCAAAACCACTCCCGACAATCACCATGTGTATGCAACCATGTGTTACATATATAAGTTTACATATTAGTATCATCACCAACACCTACATTAAGGACTCACCTCTCTGTGATCTAGACCCTAGATATGTGAAGTTAGAAATGAATGCTCAGGTTAGTTGATTTGGCCATTTCCATTGGGAAGCTATAGTAAAGGGTTCACTCCCACCCACCCCACCGTGTGCAAATCACACTTCCTATATACCATCTACTAGTGCCAATTAACCCCATCTCAATGCTAAGAACATTTAATAAAGTTAAGGCAATTTCACATTTATATGAGATATACTGACACATGAAAAAGCTGATGCTTAATACTGCTATGGATACATAATTATCAATAACAATATTCCCAGATTAAACATCTCGTCCATTTAATATTATACAACCAAGCAATTAATATTGTACATGCTGAGTTGAGCACAAGTAGTAAGTCAACACTGCTGTTAGCATGCTCTGAGCACACCATCACCAACCTGCAAAGTCCTCAGCTGGCTGAACTATAACTCTTTGGTTCTCTACCACTGACACCAACATGTTGGGATCCAGAGGATGACCAAGTCCTGCCTATAACATAGGAACATGTCTTTCTCCATCAACAAACTACATATTATTCAAAACTAATCTGATCATTCTAAAATAATGTTCACGGCCAAAAGACTATTAGCTACAATTCATTTTTGAAAATGTGATAAAAAATAGAATCTCAAATGTGTATCATTTCAACTGAGGAAAATATCTTGCTCATTTAAACAGATTTGCAACAATAAATGTTCCTTGTACTAAACCAAATTGTTTCAACTTACCACAAACATGGCCATGTTCTCAATCTTATAGCCATATTTATTCAGTATAGGTTTGAACACCTCCTTCACAGTGCGTGTTGGCTTAGCTTTCACACCAATAGACTTGTTATTTGGCATATCAAGACGGAACAGCACCCGAGACTCCAGCTTGATCTCCTTGGAGCCTAGACTAGAGATGTCTTTGCGTAGGTCTAGAGCCTAGAAAATAATAATAATTGAAACAAAATTAAAATGGAGAATGGGGAGATTAAGTAACTACATAGATAAAAATAAAATCAAAATTAAAATACTGGATCTAAAAAACTATATTTGTAAACCTATGATAATTTTTCAAAAATGCCAATGACCAAAGCATTTGCTATACTGACCTTTTCTGAGCCCACTATGAGTACATCTAAAGTAGCTAGTATCAACCCTCTCTTCTCACACAGTGACAATACTGCATCTTTGACAGTTTGGCCTGGCTTGGCATAGATCACAGTGGTGGCTCCATCTGGCAGGATAACTCGACACAACTTGTAATTCTCTTTGTTATCTCCTTGTGAGCTTGTGTCATCCTTGTTCAGGGACTAAAGTAAAACACGCAATATCAGCAATGCACATTCAACTTAAGTCTTAGCAAAATTGTCATTGTTTTAGGAACTATATGCTAAGAATATAATTACAGCATGCGCTCAATTACAACAAACCACTATCACCAATGTCCATGCTGTACAAAATTCTCAACATCATTGTATGCCTTGCTTTGTTTGTTTTTGTTTGTTTGTTTTTTGTTTTTTTTAATTTATTCTGCAACTTTGGCAAACTTAAGAGAACAGATGTTTTTACTTGATAAAACAGAATTCACCCTGATCTAATACCTCTTGTGATCCTGTAATTTCCTTGCTCATCATGCTGAGATCTGCCGAGGCCAGAGAACTCTTCATGGTTCCTTTCCTCTCAGAGTCACTGGTACTACCAGTGCTACCTTTTCCACTGGGTCTCTTACTGCCTTTACCTATCAATATAATATGCCTCACTGCCTAAACTATCCAGAACTAAGATCCCAAACACAATTTATAATTTATATGTTAATTAAATATAAGATCCCTTTTGCCAGAGGGAATAACTGTGGATGTAAAGTAAGTGGGATATATCAGCTAGTTGATTACACAGATGCCATATATATGATATGAATTTAACAGAAAGTTAATCATCTTAATTTCATTAAAAAAGTACACATTTCTCTATTTTCCACTGACAAGAATAACATATTATTTATACCTTTCCATGGTAGCAAAGATTTCCTCCTTTTGCCATCTTCTTCACCATCTGTGCTCGCCTTCTTTCTTAGCTAAAAAAGCAAACAACAACAGCAAAATAAGTAGAATAGAATGTAAATCAAACCAATAATAAATTGAAGCATTTCTACATTGTAAACACTTCAGATAAAAACCAATAAAAATTTCATAAGTCTCAATTATGCAGGCATATGAGTAGTCAATCAGAAACACTATAAATATATGAATTCAATTTATAAACTCATATCTCCTGAAAAACATCTTTGCTTATGTCTTCCATGCAGAGCTCACAGGCTCTCTCACCCAAGGATATGTGCTAGACTTTCATTAAAGAAGGCAGAGTTTTCACGCTGAGTTTCTTTCTCATACCCTGGAGTCCCTACATGTAGACCCAAATCATTCACTCATTAAGGGACAGTATCCATGGTGATACACGTAATTTAAGCCTAAGGTGGCTCTTACGTCAGTAAAATCTGTTATCTAATTTCAATAAAAAGCACCAGGCTTACTAGTGTTACAAAATTGGATTATTTTTTCTCCATGCATAATGAAATCAGTCGGCATTTTAGCTTTTTGCACATGTACACACACACACACACACACACACACACACACACACACACACACACACACACACACACACACACACACACACACACACACACACACACACACACACACACACTTAAAAAGTCATTTTAGTGCAGATGCACTGCTGAATTTTATTCAATCAGTTGTACTTTCACTAACCCCCTAGAAGTTTCTAAGCAAATAAAAATTTCTGTAAATTACTGAACCTATACAATGTACACATGGGAATAGTTTAATAAGTTTTCGTTCTTGCCAGCCTAGTCAACTGGCAGGTTTCATCCTTTGCCTACTGTTTAATGACATTATCAAGTCAGATAACCAGAGCCGAAGAAGATAACATTTACAAAGTTAATTTTTTTCCCAGAAGAATTCCGTTTGCTACTGTGTAAATTTTTAGAATCACATCACTGCCATCTCTCTGCATGAAATGTTTTCATGGAAGCCTTTGCTAATCTGTTTACCATGTTACACCATTAGTTTCTATCTCCGCAGGTTTCAACCTCTACACAGTGCTCACATCTTTCTTAAATCAAGTACTACAAATTACAGGTGAATGCATTTTTAAATCCACCTTTCCAAAAACAATTTTTCATATTCAGTCTTTATTTTATTTTATTTTTATTTTTTAGAAAATATTTCCTGCTTTTTCATTTCAAGTGATGCACATCAAAATAATATTTCCTTCTTTATTTATACAGGTTTGTAAGGTAATACCGTGTATATCTCAGGTCAAAATGATACTGAAAATAATGATGAAGTTATATATGAAGGAAAATGTCACGACACTTCTGGCGAACCATGTTGACCACTGTGGCAACACATTAGCCTTTTCAGATGGCAATGTTTTTTCTCCTTTTAACACTATCTACATAAAATTCTACAAATATCTTTTGGTTTCTAAAACACACAACATTGCCATTTTCCCAGACAAGTTTTATCTGACTGAACGCCATGAAAGTTGAAATGATGTACCTATCAATTTTAGCAACAGTTCCCCATGGATCGACAAGAACAGCATAAACTGTTTTCACAATATTGATCCATAGACTGATTCACGCACAAGAAATAAAGCTGGTTTAAGAAACAAGCACTCTTGATTTAATTCCTGATAACAATGCCTTCACTTTTAAAAAAATACCCTAGAGTGTCACCATGTCATTAAAAGGAAGGAAAACTAGATGCATATACGCTGTATTGGCAAAAGGTCGGGTTTTGGACATTCACAAGTTTCAAATATAATTTCAAAATGAAATGGGATGAGTTCTTTATAATTTTTATGAAATCACACATTCATTTTTCCCTCTCTCTCTCTCTCTCTTTCTCTCTCTCCACCTCACACACAGGTGCGGATCCAGAGATATTTTCTGACAGTCTTCCAAATTAGCTTTGTTGATCCATCTCCCATTTTTGACCGTCTTCCGATAGAAAAAATTAGATACCCGTCAATGTAAATTTGAAAATCTGACCATCTTCCAGAAGACCCAGAAGACGACCTCAATCCACCCCTGACACAACAAGTACCTTTCTTTTATCCTCATCACTGTCTTCAGGTTGATATGGTAAGTGCCGTCCCTCCATCTCAGCTACCACACATTCTTTGTACATGTCAGACTTCAGGAAACGAACATAACTATCAGTCTTCATTAATCTGAAGATCTGCAAAAAGTATATTAAAACACACTCAAGTCTTGTGTAATGATGGGAAATTAAATCTTTTGTAAAGAGACTTAATAAGTTTTCTACATTGACATTTCATATCTGTTAAGTAAAAAAACATGTAAAGACACTTTAGACATGATTTATCTATTGCAGAAAATTGAACAAAATAAAAAGTGTGCGCGCTCTGAGATTTATACTCTTTAACTGATAAAAATATCCTTCAACGAAGAAATATGATGAATGTGCCAAACAAACCTACAGCAACACTTTATTACCATTAAACACATAAACAATTTGAAAACAAGGTGCATCCATAGGTCAAACAATGACTTTTAGTTCAAAACTAGCCTATTCAAATTATACTTGAGACAAGAAACCTAACTTAGTATAACTGTTAGTCTTAACCACGTGTCAAGTAAACATCTTACCTGCTGCTGTGACATGTCAAACATGTCTGGGACAGGGTTTTCTAGGCACTCTGCTGCTCTTTTCCTTGCAACGCTGTCAATATTCACCGGCTCTGTAGCACCTGTGGCTAGGTGGCAGCTGAAGATTTCTTGAGCACGGACCTTCATCTAAATCAGCAAAACACATTTATTCAGAACAGTTGGTCTTGTGAAGTGAAATAATTGTTCGAGTAACATTGTAGAGCAATGAGCGTTTTACATATCACACGGTTTAACTCGCTTCCAGTTTTGCTAATGGCATTACCTGTCAGTCCGTGGGTGCCTTGCAATAAATTCTCAGAAATCCATGATACATCTCCTGAATTAATCTATCAATCTGAAGGCCACCCAGATCTTTAAAGTACTAGTACATCTAGCCAAGTAGATTGAATGTAAAAGAAAATCTTCAAGCATGGGGTTTAAAATAATCAAAATACTTTAAAATTGTTTTAAAAAAATTAGTTATAATTCAATTCGAGAATCTCTTATACTTTATAATATCTAGGTTTCTATCACCCATGTATTGACTCAACACATCATCTAATCATAACACAATCATTATGGTTATTCCTGCCAATCCTAAACTCCACATCACCTTATACACCCCTATCAGTTAATTGAAGGAGGAATCATTTTATTTTTCTCTCCAGCCTTTCCAATACACTGTAAGTCAATAAATATTCATCCAATTTTTCTGGCTGGCCACCAAATAAATACACACAGTGCAGACTGGGAACACTTCTATGGTGAAACCATAAATATCATGAACTTTTAGAAAATACAAGCAAATGTCCATTACGGATGCTGCATTGTAATCAATAGATTGAATTACATAGGAATGGAGGCCTTTTTTTATGCTGCTGAATGTCAAAACCATGACCCGGCTCAAAGATATCCTGAAAAGCAAATGAGCTACCCTCACAGAGAAAAATTCTCATTTTGAGATTTGGTTTCTGGTTAAGCAGCAAGCATCGAGGTAAAAATCATGATTATAGTCAACATAGTTAAATTCAATGAGCATAAAAAAACACATGAACAATTGTACCACAACACCAGTTATACTGATATGATGACTTTTTTACCACAAATATTTCTATTTATTTTTCAAATGCAGCATCGCCAATCATTATAGTTTTTAAAGCCACCCTGTGAAATCAAGGATGAAATTTCTCATTAAACCACATGATACATGGTGTACAACATTAAAATGATCAGTAATCTAACCCTAAGCCGCTATGAAAAGAAGTGGGTACAAAGTGGAACACAAATTGCCAAACTCATTGTTCGATAGGATTAGATTTCATAAAAAGTGCAAAAATATCGGCTGCTTTAAGATAATCATGATTGATTGGTATGTGATGTATCTGGAATCCTTGTTGGACTCCTTCAATCCACTTCTCTCCAATTTAACAAAGTATTCAAAATTTAACTGTAAAGAAGCTTTGCACACCTATATTCATTTCACCCTTGGACAACAACAGGGATGTATTATGATAAGTAAAATAACCATAACTCACAACACTTAACTCAGGCTGTGTTTATCTTATTTAAATTGTTCTGTTTCCGTCCACTAGTGATCCAAAAACATTAATTCTCATTGTGCTTACGTATTCATTATGCACAGGAAGGCAAAGTGATCTCCAAAGCAATGTATTAAACACTGAAGTGCAATCCTCAATAATGGCACTACAATGTAATTATGTTAATCAAGTGTTTTCCCCATTATGAAATCAATACTGGTGAAAAGTGATAAAATTAAATTATGCACATCAGCGGTTTTAAAACAATTGCCAAATACAGACAGGTTCCAAAAAGGGAAAATTGAACTAGCCCTTAAGATCCTATCACCCCATTTTTGAGATACTGACATTTGGAAGCTAGACCAAGTTTCTTTACAAAGCATACATTCAGTAAGAATTATTTGTCTGGTAAGATCCCTTTTTCATTCATTATGGTTCTGTTCGTATCGTAGAAATGATCCAAACATTGCCCATCATGTATACACACACATTATGCACGAACGCAAGTTTCACCAAGATTTTTTTATTCTTTACTTTATTTTCGACAACCTCCATATTATAAATCAGATACACCACTCATCATCAGGATGTATGTGATATCCTTATGTGTCAGTGCTATGCACTTGCATATGTCACATACACCTTGTCAGCTTGTGGTGTATCCATAACATATCCACCTAGAGATAACAAATAAATACAAAGATACAAGCCTTATTTTGCATCAGTTCAACAAATTGTATCCATGTGGTATTTTTATTTCTTTGTTTTCATGTCTCCATGATAGATCTAAAAAGAGTCATTCCAGACAATGAGCTAAACTAGTTTCAGATATATGTTTGAGGGCTCATTATTCAGCTCGCATGAAAACAGTCAACTCCCCTATCTTGTTCAGTTTTATACTTTTTACGTCAATTGTAACCCAAGACGCAACCCTATTTTCAAGGCAAAAATCAATCACTGTCTTAATGCTATCAACCTCAATTTTAAATGCCTTAGACCTCTTTTCTGTTGCCCACAGCAGTGTGCCAATTCCCTGTGTAATGTTATTGTACTCTTACTAGGTCATTAAAAATCATTCACCCCAGCCTCCCCCCCCCCCCTCCACACAATCTATTGAGTTGGGGTTCATGACTGACAATATGTATAACTGATAGGCACAATGATGAACATTATTTTTGTAGACACGGACTCTGAAATCCCACCATCAGTGAGGTCGCCCAAGCCCTACCTGGTTAAAAAGTTCATACCCATGTTCATACCCAGGAGGAGGAGAGATATATACTCATACAACATACAGGGGGAGATATGGTGTGTGATATGTTTTATCTGTATATGTACAGCGAAAGGTTTTCTTACCTGTGCAGGGGAGGAAATTTTCTTAAACTTCTCACAGGTGATCCAAAACAGCATGTTTTCTTCACTAAATTCTTTCTTCAAAAATTCCTGTCAATGAGAAAATAATGCTGTAGATATGGCTGTTGACTTTATCTTTTATATAGCACTGTTTTCTTAAATAAATGAAAAGCACAACATTAATGTAATCACGCAAGATGACATATCCAGAAACCTGACAAAAACACAGTGACTACCTTTCCGTTCTTTCTTATTTTTAATATCATTTCTTACTGAATTTCTATTTGAGAAGATTTATTCAACTGAATGTTGCTATAGCAAAGACAAAAAAAATATATCTGGAATGAAAAAAAAAAAAGAAGCAATTCACACAAAAATGTGTTAAACAAGTACATTAGTATGCAGACCAACAGTGCTTACTGTAAAAGTAGCCTGTCCAGCTGGATCAGCCAGTAATTTCTCAAAGCTGACTGCCCACCCTGCCACACGTCCCAGGTCACTCTGGCACACGTCAACATGGATACTGGCATCGCTTGCAACACTGGTCACACTGCTGGCAGACGCCATCTTGCCTGACAGAGGAAACTCAGCGTCTGATATAGCCAGAGACTGAAAGCAAAACAATAATCTCTGTTAGTGTACAAGACAATGGTGAGCTTGTCAACATGGCAGGCTTTAAATGTGATCTTGCAAAAGGATGACAAAATAGTGTACTACGCATTTCTATTTACCAGGTGAAAGTTATGAAACCAACTATACTCCCAGTTGGCATTTAGAAAGACACATTGACATATATAACATGGTATTGATGTTAAACATGTAGACAATGGCAGGCTGCTTTCTAGACAAAGAGATGGACTCAAACAGCAGATAATAATCTATATAATTAATAGAACCATGGAAAAGTTCGGTCTAGGTGGTCACTTTCAGTCATCATTGTGCTGTCCTAGCTCTAAGCTGACAGGAAATCTGTGTGCATCCAATCTTAATACTCAATTCATAACACAATTGTTATATAATTTATAGCCTGCATGATATCAGAACAACCTACATAAATGAGTGGGAAATATACAGAAAAAATCTTTCAACCAAAATCATTTTTTTATTAGGAACCAAGATATTTAATGAAGAGAAAAAAATTATATACAAATATCACCACAAGACAAAGTATCTGGAAAAGAAACTTTGGCATCAAGATTTGTGACTCATACACTATACCTAACATATTTGGTATTAGTATCTGAACCAAATTCCCTCTCTGTCTTTCTCATGAAGGCACGCACAGCACGTACAAGCACACACATTGCTAATACATATCTCCATGACTGAGAAAAAGTTTATTTCCTCACTACAGCATACCATCTTAATAATACAGCAATACTGAGAAATTTGCAAGAAAATGGCATTACTTTTAGATTTTAAGAAAATAAAGCTCTGAAAGGTGCTCCTCTTACTATCACTCTTCTGCTTTATATCCCTTCTGGAATGTAAAGCATGATGCAAACTCCACTCAGTATATAAGCCTCTGCTTATTGACACCATCTCTGAGTCAATGAAGATGTATAAAAGATACTGTTTTAATTAAAACCAAGTTCATAAATGGTTTCCTGCTAATTAAATTATTTCATGTTATCGATAAACATTAATAACATGAAATAATTTAATGAGCAGGAAGCCATTTGTAAAATAAACTCAACAGTCAATTTTTTGTCAATTTTCTAGATCGATATGAACACTATTAGCATCTTAGCAAAGGCCAGAATTGCAAATGCAACTTCAAGCTGCATTTCAAATTCCACAGAGAACACAAAGAATAGGATTTCCATATCTGTATAGATTTTTAAAAATTGCTTCTTTTATCATACAAGGTTGATAAGAATTTCTCTCTTAAAATAGATGGTGCTGGACTTGGTGTCTTCATAATGAAAATCAAAACCACTGTTTGAAATCTTAAATTATAGCCCACAGAGAACTTTTTTATGTTCAGTGTTATAGATAATATCAGATTCAAGCAAGCACAGGTAGTTTTAGACAACCTTAGGAAAAGGAAAAGGGAGGGGGTGACTGCCTGCTATAGATCATTCTAATTCAACACTGCTAACAGACATCGAGTTAGAATCATCAAAAAAAAAAAAAAAAAAAATTGCGCCCACAAATTGGCACTTATAATGATGTGCAAGAACATACAACACTTCAGTCAAATAAATCAAGAGTGTTAAAGCCATGAACAACTGAAAATAAATGAGCAGGCCCTGAGCAATGCAGACTGAGGAGAATCTAATGGTGCAAGATAGGGAATCCACGTAGGGTGGAGAGTTCCAGATACAGCGAGAGAGAGCTGTTATGTCCCTATGATGAGAAAAATAGTGCATCATTTGGCAAGTACCTGTGTACTGTAACTGTACACACTGGGCCATGCCAGGGGCGGTTTGAGGAAAGGGGGGGGGGTAGCGGTCAGCTACTGTCATTTTTATTAAATAGCAGTACTCTACTGCTTCAGCACCAACATTTGTATTGGGCAATTACCGCTTGGTAAAGGTGTGATGATCAGATGAGTGGTTAACCAGCTCTAAGACTAATTTTAGAAGATAAAGCATAGCATTTGGTAATTGGAATTTTGAAAATTCAAAGCTGTGGTAAAGAAAATCTTGGCATTACTGTTCATGTATGTGAACCCAGCCAAAATATCATTTTATATCACTATTCAATTCAAAATGAGATGTACCAAACCCTCCACATCTAGTTTAATCAAACCAGGACTTCAATATCAGGGATGAGGCTACCATTTAGAGCAAAAGTCAGAAAATATTGTGTGGGGTAAAGGGGGCTGTTCAGGCTGTTTTTTGGCTTCCAACAAGTCAGAATTCCATCGATATTCGGAAAAATCTCATCCCTGAATATACTTCTGATTGAAACAAACATGATAGGATACACAAACAAGTGATTTGTCCCTAATCAAAAAAGGAAAAAGGAGCCAGCCATAAAACATGCAGGCAATTATATTCAGCTATTTCCTCTAATAACAACAACATTAATGACCTTTATTGCAATATCAAACATTGCAACATTTCAATGTGACATCCATGATCTAGGCTTTGGACAAACAGGCCACATCAAGCTCTTACCCTACAAGAAAAAAAAAATGTTTGTCCTACACCTGCAGCAGTTAAAAGAATACCTTTTTAATTGGAGTAAATAACTGTACAGAGTATAAACCAGCCTTACCTTCTCCTACTGTCTGAGTTCTGCTGATTCTAGACTACTTTCAATGATATCCGGGACTTAAAGTATCATTATGTCTTGGAGAGAGAAATCGATGAGATAGTTTTCAGATCTATTGAGATTCAGCCTGCATTACAGAGTTTCACATTAGAAGTCAATCAATTCAGTTCAAAGTAATCACTCTTGAAAAGAAGGGCCTCTCCAGTCTTTGGGGCTTGGTGGTAGAGCATTGAGAGGATGAATAGCCCATTAGACAGACAATCAAATTAATGATCTAAATACCATTACTTGGCTGACCACTGGGCACTGACCATTGGGCACTGTGCTGCAATAGCCCTTCTGACTTAATCTCTGGACACTGGTCAAACTGTGGAAGGCTGTGTCTTGGGACCTATTTCACAAAAGTAACTTGCATCTAAAATCAGAATTTTAACCAACTAAATTATGTTCCATAGAGAATCTTAAAGACAGTTTGTCTCATTTTTCCCACCTATTACCTTAAAATAAAACTGTGGCTGTCTGGGCAATGTTCCTTCCATACTAAGCCCAGTAAGGTATTATCAGTCTACAGCTTGCAAGATGCTTTCAGACCAGTTCTGCAAAGTTGTCTTTATACAGACCTTCATCTAATTTAAGTTTAAGCTGAGCCAAGCCTAGTATCCTATCTCAGTGTAATGGTCAGGACTTTCGGTAATATCCTGTAGACCTGCATCCTATCTCAGGGCAGTGGTCAGTCCAGCATTACCCTGTTTCATATCTCAGGGCAATGGTCAGTTGAGCAATACCCATAATCCTATCTAAGGATAATAGTCAGTCCAGCAATATCCAGTATCCTATCTCAGGACAATGGTTAGCCTCAGAAATATCAAATAGACCTATATCCTATCTTAGGATAATAGTCATTCCAGCGATATCTAATATCCTCTCTCAGGACAGTGGCCAGTCCAGCGATATCCAGTATCCTATCTCAGAACAGTAATCAGTCCAGCAATATCCAATATCCTATCTCATGACAAAAGTCTTAAAGTATTATTTCCCAGGACAATGGTCAGCCTCAGCAATATCCAGCATCCTATCTGAGGACAGTGAGCAATATCCAGTATCCTACCTCAGGACAATGGTTCACCTCATCAACATCCAGTATCCTATCTGAGGACAGTGAGCAATATCCAGTATCCTACCTCAGGACAATGGTTTACCTCATCAACATCCAGTATCCTATCTAAGGACAGTGGTCAGACTCGGCAATATCCAGTATCCTATCTCAGGACAATGGTCAGTCCAACAATATCCAAGATCATATATCAAGGCAGGGTTTACTCTGAGCTGGCATGTGTCCTTCAGTCTCAGATGAAATGTGACCTGCACCTGCCATCATACCCAAGGATCTTTTTTTCAGGACAGATGTCAATATGAGATGAAGTGTGACCTTATCCAACACCATGACCTGTATCCAGGATAATATTTCAGGTCAGAGGTCACTTTCAACTGAAATGTGATCTTATCCCAATACCATAGGTCAGGACATTGGCCACTTTCAGCTGGACCATGGTCTTTAGGCCTTGTCTATACTTGGGCAGTATTCAACCTGTACTGGCCTGTGTCTCATTGACAGGTCAATACCCGTGACCTGGGACTGATTTCCCCCCCCCCTAATTTCCCCGGAACCCCCTCCCCCAATCTTTGAATGCATTCAGAACAGCTGATCCGTGGACTAACTAATCTGCTGAATAAATGTGACCAACCCCACTAAAAAAGCAAGCTGCCCTAACCCCCCCGATGGTCTCTCCCCCTTCACTTGCACCATTAAACGGATTAAATCTCAACTTCGAGTTTTGATTGTTAGGTCTCTGCAGAGAAGGCATGTGTTAAGGCAGGGAGACCATCAGGGAATTAGCAGCATTGCTTTTAAGTGGATCGGCCATATTTAGTCTACGGTTCTGTTTGTCCGCGAATCAAGTTGTTCTGAATGGGCTGTTCCAATTCTATTTATCTCATGGCTGGATTCTCCACCTCTCCTTTCCACCCAATCTCTTCCCATTAAACCCACCCAGTAACAGGCTGCCCCCTCCTCCCCTTTACACCCGATCACTTCCAATTTAACTTCCCTTACCTCATGTGACTGGCTATGTGGCATCTTTGGTGCAGACGACTGCTTCTTAAATGCTCCCTGGCTGCTTCTCCTCCAATGAGGATCATCTTCTGGCTGCAATATAAACATGGAAAATACATGCACCTTTAAACACACAAGCACAGAGCATTTTTTTAAATCCTTCTCTATGTGCCGAGGGAATTGACATGGACTGAGAACTCCCGACTGTCTAGTCTGCTTTGATAGATAAAATAAAGCAAGAATGGATCTGCACTGTAAACACTTTCAATACCATTTTCAGCTGCACTTACACTAACCCTAAATCATATTTAACCCTCTATTTCCAAGAGGATTATGATGTTCTTTAACAAACCATTCTGCTCTACGTACGGACTATAATATTTGTTGCCTACAGTTTTCAATCTGTGTCATCAAATTAATAATCTTTTCTTTTATTAATACAACTCTCTGCATTAGTAAACAATACTTTCATTGTATTTCCATTTAAACGATTAATACTCTTACTTTTCCCTTGAATATAAAGTAATACATTTGTCCTTCTCGAAATTCTAACCCATTACCATTTCCTGAAACAAGCTCATTAAGCAACAAGTGACCAGCCAACTTCCTATATTCCTACGCCATCTCACCACAATGCTGGTTTGCAATAAGAAATTATCCTAATGCAGGTAAATCAATAGGCATCTTGATACATAATGCTGCAAAAGTAAAGCAAAGCTGTGTAACCCAAACTGCCTAAACCATGAACACACAAGAAAGATATTGACAAGAGGCAGCTAGGGAATAGCTACCAAAGCAAAACTAGAATTTTAAATTAAAAATCCTGTCACAATCATAACACACATCTGCTGATCATTAATGTGCATATCTAGATATGCTTGCTCATTTTTTCCCCTTTTTCCTTAGTTTTACAGTGCAATAAGAGAATTTCACCAATTATTTCTAGATCACTTACAGTCACTCTATTGAATGTGTTTAACGTCAGTCTGGGTCTCTTTTATACATAGAACATAATATTAATAGTAATAATGATATAAAACCTTAAGAATTTAAGTCAGTACTTGGCAAACACCCTAACAAAATCATATCTCAATTTATGAAAGACAAAATGAGATATATGTATACTTTGAAATTTCCAGCAACATCAACAAAAACACACTACACACATAAAAAAAATCCCTCACTTTGCCCGAGATTGACTACGAAAAAAAATCAAAGGAGGAAAAAAAAAAATCACTGCCCTTTACCAGAGTTTTAGAGAAAACCCCATATTGGCAAAAGTGCACTTTTCCTTGAGGGTGTTAGCTTAGTACAAACCCAGGCTCTCTTAAAAGCTCCTGTCTTTGAAAGAATTTACCTTTCCATTTAATCTGTCCATATCTCCTGATAGGCAAATCTGACATCAAGAGCTGCTTGAATGTTATGACAAACCAATGTAAATCAGTAACATGCCAAACAAAAAAGTGACAACATGATCTACGCTGGTTCAACTTTACCGTTACTGTTCATCAGGCCATCGCTTCAAAGGCAATCAACCAAAGATTCAATATGTTCCTCTCGTAGTTGTGTGATTATTTTGGGTCAATTCTATATCAGTTGAGTTACTCATGAACTCCTAATCTTTAAAGTAACATTGTTTGATTGCTAATCAAATTACATCTTGTATAAAACATGACAGGAAAAAGCACTAACCAATGCATCCTTGTGTTTAACATGTTTCTCTGATAGTGAGCAGTTAGAACCTTGCCATAACACTGTTTTATCTTTACCATGTACTTATTTTCTCTATACAACCTTTTTTTTAAATACTATCAGTCACATAGTAATTTTTTTAAAAGAAATATCTAGCAAATATAATTTTAAAAACTATAACATACTAACCATTTTAGCTGGGAAAACAGAACAGTCCTTGTTCTTTGCTGAACAGGCACAAGCTTTTATGTAACATCTTTTTGTAAACAGAGCTACACATGACGTCAGTACAAAAATTACAATGGCTTAACGCGTCATCATGGCCTATAAAATTAAGCTAACTTCCAGCTACCTTGATCCTGGTTATTACTGTCATCTTTTGCTCTTCTGAGAAATGTGCAATGGATTTAATAATAAATGGATTAATATTTCAATTTTCTATCTTTCAGCAGTTATTAAAGGTATCATATGCAGAATTTTCATGCAAAACCGAAATTTCCTTACAAAAAGAGCATTTTTTTCCTTCTCATGAATCATTGCTAGACCCCTGCCAGCACTTGGATTTTAAATTTTCACTATTCTTAATTAAAAAAATTAGTTCCAAATATTTCATGACACACTTAGAACACAACCGCCTTCCCATCTGGCCATCATTTTTTCAAGACAAATAATATACATTATTAAAAATGACCTTTATTTCACGACGTAACAAGAAAATGGTCGAAGTTATGTTTCCTAGTCTCGTATCATGTAGATTTCATCTCTCCCATAAAATTGCTAGATGCCTAGGCATATATCTTGTGAGGTTCTTAGGCTCAGAAAAAATTATCGACATCAGGTATGCCTCAGATAAACTTTTATTTAAGAGGTTTTATCATTATACTAATCTGAATTGAGAAAAATATAAGGCAAAAAATGTAAGATAAAAGTATGACTATAGGACATTTTCAAGCAGGCACAGGATACCTGAATTTTACTTAACAAATGTATTTTCCAATTTGAAAATGCAAAGGAACGTAGTTGTTTGCAACAGGACAACTGTTGATATGGAGACGCTCTAATTACTATAACATCATTAAGATCCATTCACAACCTGCTTTAATTAACCTGCGTGGGGAAGTAATCCCTTTGAATAATAGTGCCTGATGATAGGAGAATTACTGGAAAAACATAACTTGGAACCAAGCAATCAGGCCTGACAACATCATAATTCCTGGAATATAGCACTGGAGAGGACACTGACCTTTATATATATATGCACTGGAAAACAAGATGTTGATCTTTTCATTTACAGGGCAGACGAAGCATGAAGTGGTACTTCAACAGAATATATAGATCTATAGAATCATTCCAGGTTTTACTTACATGTTAATTTGGTGGAATCTTGGTTTTCACCTAGTATACAGGATCATGCCAGACTTCTGCCTCACGAACAGAAAAATGTGTTTTTTCTCAAGTAAGAGTGCAGTGTAGGCAGTCAGCCATAATCACTTTACTCAAATGTAAAAACACCATAATATTATCATTGCTAATTTCACTCACGCAGAATAAGATCAAAGACTAATATTTGCCAATACAACTATGTCATAACATCATGTTTGAATGTTGTGACAGAAGATGTAACATAAGGATAAGTGTATTTACAAACACTTGCTCATGTATATATACAACACTGTCTATAGTAATCAGGTTTAAGAATATAAACTAAATGCTTGTGATACATGTTCATATATTCTAGACATTTTTTACTTAAATCTCATACTTTCTTTGAGGCAAATGTTTAATTCGGTCCACTGAGGCAAAACTGACTTGTGTGCCTAATTGTGAAAGAAAGCAATCAATGAAGCAAGCCTGGCCAGTAATCGATCCAGTGTCATTTTTACTCTTGCTCTCCCTCCTTCTCTCAAACCACTTTTGACAGCAGTAATACTTCCATCATCTTCAAACAACTCATACATTTTGTGATACAGCACCATCAACAAGCAATGTTACTGTTTGAGCACAAATATTAAGGGACCATTAAGCAAATAAGGCACATTAATCATCCCAACCTTCAACTAATCAAATAATTCAGCAATAGTCAGTTAATAACTCTCTGCGGCACAAAAATCACTTATCTATCATCATTGTTCTTCAGCCACATTGTCAGTGGGACATGAAAAAGGTCCCTCCTCCCTTTCACTAAATCCGTTTCTTGTCTCTGAAGGTTCCATAATTCAGGAACATTCACCTGCTAAGAGCAGATAACTAGACCTATTGGTTTAAGATATTGTAATAAATACACAGAAAATACTTAAAACATTGCATAATCATTCCTATTTGGACTGATGATGCAGGTGCTAAGATATCGGATAATCCATTGGTCTATTATCATATACGTGCACAGAGGAGAGAGAATACTAGTTTTGTTTCTTTCAGTTGTAGTCATTATTACATGTCCATGCACAAACACATACATGAAAACATACATGAACAATCTATTTATTCATTAAGAGTAATATTACACCACATGATCTATGACAGACCATACATCCTGTATGATGCAACAAACGTGTATGTACGTAGCAGTTCTAGTATCCAAAGGAGTCTCATCTTGTAATGAAGGAAGTGGAACATGACTTTTCATACCATTTTTTAATAATGTTCCCTTTATGCCCTACTTCACATCATCTATTCATTCATTACAGTGTATCCAAATGGGTTTTCTAGATCATTATTCTTATCCCGTTCTGCCAGAATGTGCCGTAATTGATTGCCAGCAGTGTGACACCCCCCTCCATACTATACAGGACCTCATACTTCAATGTTTCTTTTTTAATTAATGCAGTTTTAAAGTATTTATCATGGAATTTTTGAAGGTATTTTAAGTTTATTTATTTTGATACAAAAACTTGTTTCATTTACCTTTAATCCTGAGAATTACAATTATTTCTTTACATTGTATAATCTTTAAGGTTATCATAGGACCATTTTTTTATAACCAATATCACACTGATACAACAAAAAAATTAGATTTATAACAATGTTCTGCTTTTGAAAAGCAGTAATTGCCCCAAGGATATAAAACCTCTGAAGCAAGCAGTAAACTTCCACAGCCATTGCTTAATACCAACTCAACTCATCCACATTTGAAAGTCACACAATAAGAAAAAAAATTCATATTGCTGATTTTTTCAAAAAAATACAACAGTCATAGTCAACTCTGGAAAACAAGATACCCCAAAAGCAGTGCAATAGTGGAGATAAAATTATAGTCATTTTTAATCACTTTCCCCTCAAGGTCAGAATTTAATTAATTCCCCTCGAGTCAGTCCTGTCCAAGGCAGTCTCCTGATACCTGACAGGCCACTTTTCTACAGTGCATGGATGAAATGATAATCAATAAGAAAAGCTGTGGAATG